TAATAGTAGTAGTAGTCGTCGAGTAGTAGTACCAGAGTGTAGTAGTAGTTAGTAGCAGTACGTGAGAAGTGAGAAATGGGTAGTAGTAGCAGTAGTAGCAGTAGTAGAGTATAGTAGTAGTAGTAGTAGTAGTAGTATGGTAGTGGTAGTAGTGGTAGTAGTAGTTAGTAGTTAGTAGTAGTAGAGTATTCGTAGTAGTAGTAGTAGTAGTAAGTAGTAGTTTGCCGTGTAGTAATAGTAGTCGTAGTAGCTAGTAGTTGTGCCAGCAGCAGCAGCAGCAGTCGTATGGCGTTAGTCGTAGTAGTAGCAGCAGCAGCAGCAGTAGTAGTAGTAGTAGTAGTAGTAGTAGTAGTAGTAGTAGTAGTAGTAGTCGTAGTCGTAATAGTAGTAGTAGGAATACAACTAGTAGCAGTAGTACTAATAGTAGTAGTAGTAGTAGTCGTAGTCGTAGTAGTAGTAGTAGTAGTAGTAGTAGTAGTAGTCGTCGTCGTCGTCTTCGTCGTCGTCGTCGTCGTAGTAGTAGTAGTAGTAGCCGTAGTAGTATTAGCAGTAGTAGTAGTAGTAGTAGTAGTAGTAGTAGTAGTCAGTAGTAGTAGTAGTAGTAGTAGTAGTAGTAGTAGTAGTAGTAGTAGTAGTAGTAATAGTTGTACTAGTCGTAGTCGCAGCAGTAGTGGTAGTAGTAGTAGTAGTAGTAGTAGTAGTAGTAGTGGTAGTAGTCGTAGTAGTAGTAGTAGTAGCAGCAGAGTAGTAGTAATTAGTTAGTAGTAGTAGTAAGTAAGTTAAGTAGTTAGTCTTAAGTAGTAGTAGGTAGTAGTAGTAGTAGTAGTAGTAGTAGTATAGTAGTGTTGGTAGCGTGTAGTAGTAATAGTGTAATGTAGTAGTAGTAGTAGTCGTAGTAGTAGTAGTAGTAGTAGTAGTAGTAGTAGTCGTAGTAGTAGTAGTAGTAGTAGTAGTAGTAGTAGTAGTAGTAGTAGTAGTAGTAGTAGTCGTAGTGGTAGTAGTAGTAGTAGTTCGTAGTAGTAGTAGTAGTAGTAGTAGTAGTAGTAGTAGTAGTAGTAGAGTAGTCGTAGTAGTAGTAGTATAGTAGGTAGTAGTAGTAGTAGTAGTAGTAGTAGTAGTAGCAGTAGTAGTAGTGTAGTAGTAGTAGTAGTAGTAGTAGTAGTAGTAGTAGTAATAGTAGTCGTAGTAGTAGTAGTAGTAGTAGTAGTAGTAGTAGTAGGTAGTAGTAGTATAGTAGTAGTCGTAGTAGTAGTAGTAGTAGTAGTAGTAGTAGTAGTAGTAGCAGTAGTCGTAGTAGTAGTAGTAGTAGTAGTAGTAGTAGTAGTAGTAGTAGTAGTAGTAGTAGTAGTAGTAGTAGTAGTAGTAGTAGTAGTAGTAGTAGTAGTAGTAGTAGTAGTAGTAGTAGTAGTAGTAGTAGTAGTTGTAGTAGTAGTAGTAGTAGTAGTAGTAGTAGTAGTAGTAGTAGTAGGGGTCGTAGTCGTAGTCGTAGTCGTACTCGTAGTTGTGATCGTCGGAGTCGGAGTCGGATGAGTCCGAGGAGGAGGGGGGGGGATGAGGAAGAGGAGGTGGAGGAGGGGGAGGAGGAGGAGGATGATGATGAGGAGGAGGAAAAACAATTCAGCAGCGTCACGAAGCGCCGCTCCTGACATGTCGTGGAGGCCGTACACACGAGAAGCCTGGCCTTTGGAGAGGCCTTCGGAGAGCCTCGGTCTCGGGGAAGAAGAGCGGTGACTGTAACCCTCGGAGCCTTGGCCAGACCGCGCCCAGGGTTGAAAGGTCTGGGGAGCAGTGGCATCGGCATCTTCTTGTCCCCCGCATCTGTCCTCAGATCCCTGCGTTTTTTATCAACCATCCTGTGGTGTTGGGTTTTCGTTTTGAAGAGACTGTCACCGCGTTCTCCTCCTCCTCCTCCCGCCTCCTCTTTGCTCCCCCTCTTCCCTCCTCCCTGCGTTTCACTTATCCAGTACAGCGTTTCGTGGCCCCGTAAGGAGCTCCACCGAAGCCCCTGGTGGCACCGCCCGCATGCGTCAGCCACCACCCAGCACAGCGTTTTGTGGCCTCATAAGGAAGCTCCACCGAAGGTCCCAATGGCACCGACCGCATGCGCCAGCCACCATCCAGTAAAGCGCTTCGTGGCCCTATGAGGGGGCCCCACCGAAGGTCCCAATGGGACCGCCCGTATGCGTCAGCCACCACCCAGCACAGCGTTTCGTGGCCTCATAAGGGAGCTCCACCGAAGGTCCCAGTGGGACCGCCCGCATGCGTCAGCCACGACCCACCACAGCATTTCGTGCTCCCATAGGCCCAAGTGGCACCGCCAACATGCGTCAGCCATCACCCAGTAAAGCGTTTCGTGGCCCCATATAGGGAGCTCCACCGAATGCCCCAGTGGCACCGCCCGCATGCGTCGGCCACCACCCAGTACAGCGTTTCGTGGCCCCACAGGGAGCTCCACCGAAAGCCCCAGTGGGACCGCCCGCGTGCGTCAGCCACCACCCAGTACAGCGTTCCGTGGACCCATATGGCGCTCCACCGACGGCCCCACTGGCACCGCCCGCATGCGTAGGTCACCACCCAATCCAGCGTTTCGTGGCCCTATAGGGAGCTCCACCGAAGGTCCCAGTGGGATCGCCCACGTGCGCCAGTCACCACCCAGTATAGCGTCTCGTGGTCCCATGGGGAACTCCACAGAAGGCCCCAGTGGGGCCGCCCGCATGCGTCAGCCACCACCCGTGAACCCGTAGGGAGCTCCACAGAAAGACCCCAATGGCACCGTCCGCATGCGTCGTCCACCACCCAGTATTCGCGGCCCGAGCCCCAGTGGCACCGCCCGCATGCGTCCCCCCACCTGGCGCAGCGTTTCGTGGCCCCGTAGGGAGCTCCAGTGGTCCGCCCGCGTCCGACCCCCCCAACGAAGGCCCCAGTGGCACCGCCCGCATCCGTCCCTCCTTCCGTGGCCCCATAGGGAGCTCCACAGAAGGCCCCAGTGGCACCGCCCGCATGCGTCGGCCACCACGCAGTACAGCGTTTCGTGGCCCCGTAGGGAGCTCCACAGAAAGATCCCAGCGGCGCCGCTCGTATGCGTTTCCCCCATCCAGCACCGCGTTTCGTGGCCTTATCGGGAGCTCCAGCGAGGGGCACCGCCCGCATGCGTCAGACACCCAGTACAGCGTTTCGTGGCCCATAGCGAGCCCCACCGAAGACCCCACTGGCACCGCCCGCGTGCGTCCCCCCCACCCATTACGGCACGTCCCCCACGCGTTTCGTGGCCCCATGGGGAGCTCCACCGAAAGCGGCATCCACAACGCGTTATTCACATCTGCATTTGGTTGGATCCTTCGCCAGCAATTGTTGGTAATTGATCCTTTGCATTTGGTTGAATCCTCTGCATTTGGTTGGATCCTCTGCATTCGCATGATATTTGTTTGTTGGTATTTTTTTCACCAGTCGAGATTTCGCCTATTGTCGGGCCCTGGGGCCTCCACAGATCGATCCGGCTCGCACACAAGGCGCAGACATATTGGGTCCAGGGCTCTGGTCGTGCTTCTGCGCGATGTTTCAGTTCTTGCGGTCGCGGCCGCAATTCCCTCCCCCCCATCTACAGTGGAGACCCATGCTGAGAGAAGTACCCTGCTTGCCTCCAGGGTGCCCTGGGTTCCTTGGGCTTCGACGGCTCTGCGGTGGAGAAGTCGCAGCGCTCCCACGCCAGAAGTTCACGGACGTCCTGGGGTCTCAGGGCCGGGCCTCTTCTGTGGGAGGCCTCTTCTGGACGCAGCAGCGTGTGTGTAATGCCTGCCCGTAGCTTTTGGCTCTCGGTTTGGAGGGAGCTCAACAACCAGTCCACAATCCCAAGAGGCGGGGGAGCCAGAACAAACTAGCACAGTGCAGATTGACCGCGAGGCCGCAAAAGAGAGGCCACCAATAGTCAACGGATGTCCTGGGGCCTCAGGGCTGGGTCTCTTCTGTGGGAGGTTTCCTCTGGACTGCCCACCCCCCCCCCCTCCTCCTCCTTCTCCTCCTCCTCCTCCTCCTCCTCCTCCTCCTCCTCCTCGATTCGATTCGATTCGATTCGATTCGATTCGATTTCGCTTGCTCCCGAGTCCGATTCGATTCGGCTTCGGCTTCCGATTTGGGCCGGCTCCGATTTCCCAATGGAGGCTTAACATAGCCAGCCGGTGTCTGCCGATTCGATTTTTCCCGACTCGGCTGCCGACGCCCGTCGATCCGATTCATGTCGATCGCCGGTCCGACTTGTCGATTCGATTCTGGGCTCCCCTGCTTTTCTCAGTCTCCCGTCTCACGAAGCAGAGCGACATTTTATCAGCTTGCATGGCACAGCTTGCACGGCCGCCGCCGCGACACGCTAAGCAAAAGTCTCCGACCGTACGTATACAATCACCGGCGGGAAAAGGGGGGTACGGCGTGTTCGTGCCGCGTCGACGCGGCGGCGACCCAAGCGCGGGCGTTCAAGGTTGAACGACGCAAGTGGCCCAGTGTCGGCCGAGGTGGAATGATTTAGCGATCGAAAAGCAGCAGAACCACGCCTGGAACCATCCACGCGTGGAGCGATCCACGGTCTATCGGAAACCAACGCCCGGGTCGTCACGACACGAATCTGACGTGCAAAGCCGCTGCGTGCAGCTGGTTTCGGCTACAGCGCCAGGCACTTCCCTCGCTACCTGGCCCGCCTCGAGGCGCCCTCAGGCTGTAAGCAGCCGGTCCACTACGACCCCCTGCGGCACCCCCCCCTTTCCCTGACCCGCCGGTCTGATTTTTGCAACCCACGGCCCCAGATGCTCCCGAGTGCTTCCCTGGGGCCAGTTTTCCGTCCCGGATCCGTTTTTGACGGTCCTTTGGCCCGATAACGGGCCCTGGGGGGCCTGTTCGAGGAAAGATGCATGGAATGAGCAATTCATATCTTCGGAGATCTGGGCTCTGGTTTCTTCGTCCGCCTCTGTCTAGCGGTTGTGGGCGTCCTCCTTCTCCTCATGGGAGGGCAGGTGCTGCTGGTGAGCGCGAGCGACGTCCTGGTGGACGCCGAGTCTGTGGACCAGGCCACCGCGCCGGTGATCAAGGCGCAGAAGGCCCCTCCCCGCCCGAGCCCGCCACCGCTGGCTCGCTGCTTCGGCAGGGGCAGCTCGTCCTCCTTGTCGGTCTCGGCCCTTGCCACTGCTTCTGTCATCTCGATAGCCTTGATCTCGTCGGGCGTTCCTGGGGAGTCGACCTGCCAAGGCTCTTGCGTGCCCTCCGCCGTGCTGGGGCGACACAGTTTGAGGCGCCTTCTCTGCCGGCTCGCTGCTTCGACAGTGGCACCCCTCAGGAGGCGCTCGCTGTCATCAGGGCGTGTCCTGATGGGGCAGGGGCCCGTGCTTTGATGCGCCCTCGGGGCCCTGGCGCCCGTGGCCCTGGCGAAGGCGGATCCCGAGGGGAGAGGGGCTGGAGCCTCGATCTCGGACGATCTGACTCTTCCCAGCCATCCTGTGGCGTGAGGCCCTCGTTTGGAAGAGACGGCGCCCCCGCGCCCTCTCCTCCCGTCTCTCCTCTCCTCTCCTCCCCTCTCCTCTCAACTCCAACTCCTCTCCTCTCCTCTCCGCCTCCTCTCCTCTCCTCTTCTCTCCTCTCCTCTCCTCTCCTCTCCTCTCCTCTCCTCTCCTCTCCTCTCCTCTCCTCTCCTCTCCTCTCCTCTCCTCTCCGCCTCCTCCCTCCTCCCTCCTCCCTCCTCCCTCCTCCCTCCTCCTCCCTCCTCCCTCCTCTTCCCCTTCCTCCACCACCACCATCATCATCATTATTATTATGATTATCATTTTAATTTCTATTATCATCATCCTCGTCGTCATCATCATCCGCGTCCTCATCCTCATCCTCATCCTCCTCCTCGTCATCACCATCGCCATGACCATCATCATCATTGTCACCATAACCACCATCATCATCATCATCATCATCATCATCATCATCATCATCATCATCATCATCATCATCATCAATATCAATCATCACCACCACCATCATCATCACCATCATCATTACCATCATCGTCATGATCATCATCATCATCATGCTCGTCATCACCATCTTCTTCATCATCATCACCGTCTTCAGCATCAGCGTCATCATCATCAGCATCACCATCATCAGCCTCATCACCATCATCATCATCAGCATCATCATCATCATCATGATCATAGCTACCATCATCATCAATAATCACCATCACCATCACCATCACCATCATTAGCATCGTCATCATCATCAGCATTGTTAGTATCATCATCATCATCATCATCATCATCATCATCATCATCATCATCATCAGCATCATCATCATCGTCATCGGCATCAGCATTAGCATCAACATCACATCATACTCATCGGCTTCACGCCATCATCACCACCATCGTGATCACGATCGCTGGCGCACCCCTCACATGTTTCGTGGCCCCGTTGTGAGCTTCACCGAAGGCCCCAGTGTTGTAGCCCGCATGCGTCCCAGCCTCCCACCTCTCACACGTTTCGTGGCCCCATGGGGAGCTCCACCGAAGGCCCCAATGGCGCAATACGTCCCAGCCACTCATTTCGGCATATCTCTCACACGCTTCGTGGCCCCATCAGGAGCTCCGCCGAAGGCCCCAGTGGCGCAGCCCGCATGCGTGCCAGCCGCCCATTTCGGCATATCTCTCACACGCTTCGTGGCCCAATAGGGAGCTCCACCGAAGGCTCCAGAGGCTCAGCCCGCGTCCCAGCCGCCCATTTCGGCACACCCCATGCACGCTTCGTGGCCCCAGAGGCACCCCTACCGGCGGCCCCAGTGGCGCAGCCCGCGTTCGTCCCAGCCACCCATTTCGGCATATCTCTCACACGCTTCGCGGCCCCATAGGGAGCGAGCCTGGCCCACAGCTAACAACAGGTCCCGGTGTCACAGCCCGCATGCGCCCCATCCATTTACTTCGGCACATGCCTTATACGCTTCGTGGCCACATAGGGAGCTCCACCGAAGGCTCCAGAGGCGCAGCCCTCATGCGTCTCAGCCACCCATTTTGGCATACTTCGGGGGTCCGCCGTTTCATTTCGGCACACTCTTCACACGTCTCGTGGCCTCATGGGGAGCTTCACCGAAGGCCCCAGTGGCGCAGCCCGCATGCGTCCCAGACACTCATTTCGGCATATCTCTCACACGCTTCGTGGCCCAATAGGCTCCAGTGACAGCGCCTGCATGCGGTCGCACCGCCATTTTGGCACACCTCTCACACGTTTCGTGGCCCCATAGGGAGCTCCACCGATGGCCCCAGTGGTCCCTGTTGCTGGCCGCCCTCCATTTCAATTTCCCCGCGATGCTCGAAGGCCCCAGTGGCAGCACCCGCATGGTGGCCCCGCCACCTGTCGGCTCACCCTTCACGCGCTTCCTGGCCCCCATAGGGAGATCCACCGAAGGAGATACTCACGACGACGGTAGTCAGAACTGCATCTGCTGGTTGGCTCCTTCGCCAGGCTAATTTTCAGACCCGGCGTTTTGCTCGATTTCGGCCTCCGAGGGCCCGTCCGTTGTCGGGCCCTGGGGCAGTCAATACAGGTCCCGGACGAGAGACTGGCCCAGGGAGAGGGTTCGAGACCTCTGCGGCCGTGGGCGTCGAACATCACGCCGTCGGATGCCTGCGGGGCTCTCGTTCTCCGCCTGCTCCTCCTCCTCCTCCTCCTCCTCCTCCTCCTCCTCCTCCTCCCAGGTTCTCTCCCAAGCCCTGAGACAGTCAGAAAACCATTTCAGCCCCAAAGGTTTCCGCGGCCCTGCCCTCCGAAGTCTATGGGCGGAGGGGGGCCGAGGGGGAGGAGGAGGGGCTCCTTTTTTCTCTCTTCTTCCCCTCAGGGCCCTTGTTTGACCGGCTCATGGGCGTTTGTGCCAGAGTCCGGCATGCTCCTCCTCCTCGTCCTCCGTCGACTGTGCTCTTCTCAATGATTGGGCGTGCGCCCCGCCGCCTGGCCTGAATGGACTACAAGCATGGATGTGTGCGCGCTGCAGTGAAATTGCTGCTGCTGCTCCTCCTCCTGCAATCGCCAGGTTTGGGCTTCCCCCGGTTTTTCCAGTCTTCGAACATATTCCCGAGGCTGGCTAGGGGGAGGTGCTCCGATGGGACCAATCGGGGTGGACCTCCCGTCGTTCGTCCGAGGGGTCTAGAGGAGCCATGTCCTTGAAAATCAGGCGGGGAGGCTTCCGCTGGAACCGGGTGGGGCATCGCCCTCATCACGACCACCACCGTCGACATCGTTCGCAATCCTGGACAGAGGCCCTGGCTTGCTCCCCTATTAAGACAATCGTGCTGATTTTCTGCGTGACCCCCACCAGTCGATCCAGAAAGGATGCCTGCGCGAGCTCCCTTGGTCAGGGAACTGCAGGAGCATGCGGCGGAGGTTGCAGTGGAACGCGAAGGGGGGCAGGGCCTCAGATCTGCCCCGGCCCCGCAATTTTCCGATTGAGCTGCGGGCGCTCGCTTGCACGGCCGCAGCGGTGGCGATCGAGCGTTGCAGTGCTGACGACGGGTCTGTCCGTTACCGAGGGCAGGGCCATTATCGCCACCTCCTTCTTCACTACCGTCATCACCATCATCGCCAGCACCATCATCGTCCTCTGGATCTCCAGCGTTCGCGGCGCCCTGGCGCCCCCCACCCCCTTCCCGTGGAGACGAACGTGGACGTGCTGATGAGGGACCACCAGAACTGGTGGCACGACTTCTACCCGCGGGGCGCGTTCCTGAGCCTTGGCGACCCGCCGTGACGAAACCCGCTCACCGTCCCTTCGAATTCTGCTTCGTCGGGAGAAGCACGAGGGATACAGAAGCTCTGCTTCGACAATGGCCACAGCTTGTCCGTGCCATGTTAGGGCCCTCTGGCCCTGTGGGTCCCGTGACGGGGGCCTGACGGCCAGCTTTTGGTAACACGCGAACTGGGGAATCGTCGTGGAGCCCTGCACAGGACACCTACGGTTTGATGGATGAGCAGGGTCTCGTTCCCCCAATCTCACCTCCCCCCATCTACTCCTGCTCCTCCCCCTTCTCATCCGAAGCCAGTCCCAGGTTTCTTAAATCCAGGCTCGCGCTGTGCATTGAGTGCACCCCCCCCTTGAGGGGCGATTGAAATACGGAAGGCATCGAACGCACAATCGTTTGGAACTGTCGGCAAGCAGGCTTCCTTGAGAACGAGAGAGAGAGAGAGAGAGAGAGAGAGAGACAGTGGGGCAGTTTTGCTTGGTATACAGTCACAACACCTCGTCACCCACGGCAACACAGATGACGCCGCGCCACCGCGACAGCGCGACACTGCGACACCCGGCACGCCATCTGCAAGCAAGAATAGCCAAGCTTGTTCGCCGAATCCAGACAAGGCCGTGCGCGCTCTGGCGCACCTCCCGCGCACATCGCGCACAATACGAAGCATGAAACTTCCCTGTCCTGGCGATGGCGGCCTCGCCAACAACGTCACACGTGCAATTTGCAACACGCGCAGCGGCACGTAGTTGCCAGTGGGCTGTCAGTGGGCTGTCAGTGGTCCGTCAGTGAGCTGTCAGCGAGCTAGCAGGTGGCTATCAGTGGGCTGCCAGCGAGCTGTCAGTGGACTGTCAGTGGACTCTGTCAGTGGATTGTCAGTGGTCTGTGAGCGGTCCGTCAGTGGTGTGTCGACGGTGTGTCGGTGGTGTGTCAGTGGGCTGTCAGTGGGCTGCCGGTGGTCTGTCAGTGGTCTGTCAGTGGCTTGTCAGTGGTCAGTCAGTAGTCTGCCAGCGGTCTGTCAGTGGTCTGTCAATTGTCTTTCAGTGGCTTGTCAGTGGTCTGTCGGTGGTCTGTCAGTGGTTTGTCAGTGGTCTGTCAGTGGTCTGCCTTGAGTCTGTCAGTTGTCTGTCAGTGGTCTGTCAGTGGTTTGTCAGTGGTCTGTCAGTGGTGTGTCAGTGGTGTGTCAGTTGTCTGTCAGTATTCTGCCAGAGGCGCCTTTCAGTGGTCTGTCAGAGGGGGAGGGGCGGCAACGTACGAGGCACGGGTGGGACCACAACGTCTCTCGACCCTCCCCAGTGACGGACCACTAGCAGACCACTTACAGACCATTGACGGACCGTTGACAGACAATTGACAGACCACTGACAGACCACTGACAGACCACCGACAGAGCACTGACAGGCTCCTGACAGACCATTGACCCTGACAGGCCACTGACAGACCACTGACAGACCACTGACAGACCACTGACAGACCACTGACAGCTCTTCCCGACGTCGAGGTCGAGGGGTGACATCGCGTTCGAGCGCGGGTCCCGATGCCTCAACGGTGATTATTCTTGTGCAAGGCCCCATCGAACACAAAGGTGTGTGTGTGTCATGGGTGGTATGTAATGATGTAGCGGTTGATGTGTTGTTATGGGGTTTGATATGTCCGTCGGCGGCGATGGCGGGGGTACTCTTGGGGCGGTGGTAGGGAGAGGGCGGGGGGAGGGGGGGGGCGGCTCAGGATGCCTTGGGGACGGGGCCCTGGAGGGCGCCCTGGAGGGTCCCTCGTCCCACTTGTATGGGGGTGGTTGTAAGTACGTTGTGCCCCCCCACCCCCCGACACCTGGTGCTAAGCTGATAGCCCCCAATCTGCCATTGAAGCTGAGCTGGTAGAGCTGGGGCTAAAGTTCAGTCACACCGAGCGCTAATGCTGTCCAAGGCCAGCGCCGGAGGCGAATGTGAACCCACATGTAAGTCAGCAGCCGATGCCGAATGCGACAATGCAGCCCAACATGCTAAACTATAGCTAAAGCTAGCGCCCACGCCAACATTAACGCTGAAGCTAACGTCAAAACTGCAGACGCTGTTGTGATCGAGCTGGCAGCTAGCACCCACTAGATTTGCATCTGGTACCAAAGTGGCGCTAGAGCTGCGCACCGAGTTAAAACCATCTCTATGCTATACTGAAGCGCATGCTAACATGACGTACCATTACACACAGGTGTACGTGTAGGAATAGCTGGAGCAGCGCCAAACCTGCAGTCCAAGTGTACTCTGATGCTGAAATTGCATGCAATGCCAGCCATGCAGCCACACCATATTATACCAATGTGTTATTGGCAAAGTTAGTCTCAACGCTAGACATAGAGTTGTCACAGCACGATGCTACAGCCACTATCCGCTAATCGTGGCAAGGTCAACATGTAAATGCTGGAGCCATTGATTTATAGTGTGTTAGTTGCATCGAGTGGTCCCTGCGTTGACCCCAACCAGTCAATCAGTGCCACGTCTGTAACCCTGAGCAATGCAAAGCAATGCGACCCACTCCACTAGGTATCGTTGCAACGCTACGCAGCACACAACGCTGCAACGCAACTCGACGACACGTACTGCACCAGAATTTCATTCAGCGCAACGCAATGTAAACGAGGCACTGCAGCGTACACCAGTATAACGTAATGCAAAGCGACGCGATTCAGCGCATGCAAGGGACTGCACTGCAATGCAAAGTACGGCGGCGGCATTGGTTAAGGAACGTCTTCCTGGGGCCCAGACCCTGGCGCATTCCTTAATGTTTCAAGGCGAGGTGGGTGGCCCACGTTTGGCTGCCCATTGGTGGCAAGACCCTGCGTTCCTTATCGAAGGTCTCCTTTCCTAACCTGCACCGTATCGCAACGCATCTTATTGCGCATCCTATGGCGCAATCCCTAGCGCAACCCTTCAACCTGTGGCGCCTGTGGCGCAACTTATGACACTCGAGAGTTCGTGGGGGTGCAATATACCCTATGGGCGCACACCACGACGTATCCGATGGCGCAGATTAAGGGTCGCAAGAGACCGTATGGGCACATCCCATGGCGCCCAAAAGCTCAATGCAAGCTTTTTGGTGCAATGCACTGGTCTCATGGCAGGAAGTGCGGAGCCCATGGCGCAAGGTACGGCAACGTACAGCGTGCGAACCCCACGGCAGAACCTACGGTCGCAATCCATGACGCATTCCATCGGCGCAGCCTATGGCCCCCAATAGCGTACGGCACCCTCATTGCATAGCCGCAACCAGCGGCACAATCGATGGGCATCATCTATTGCACCCACACGTCTGCCACACCACATGGCCAGTTCGCTACCAGAGCAGTAAGAGACACGTGCAGGCACTGCTTGTAGAGTGCGCTTTTTAACTTGATATGGCAATTGCCTGCTGGGGAGCTCCTGTTGCTCTCTAGGGGGCTTCGTCAAGCTTGAATTGGGTGTTTTTTGGGCCCTCTGGTTCTTTTTGGGTCCACCTTGAGTGTCTCGGGGCAGCCTGAGGGTGGTCTTGGCGCTGTCTCGGGGTTGTTTCGGGCCGTCTTCTGGTTGTCTTGGAATTTTCTTGGGCCGTGATTGAGCCGCCTTGGGGGGACTCATGAACTGTCGTCTTGGAGCCCTCACGGAGCCTCGATCGCTCTTCAGCCGTGCAGATCCTGGGGGTTGTCTGCAGACCACCTGGTGGCTATCCTGAGATGGTCTGGGGGCTCTGTCCGTGACCGCCTCGGGCTGTCTTTAGGCCGCCTTGGCTTGTCCGGGGTGGAGCCCGGTGGCGCTCGGATGCGCACCTCGGCCCCCTCGTAGGCCCTCTCGAGTCCCCTCGAGGGGTGCGTTCGAGTCTTCGGCTCTTCCGCGTCGGGGGTGGTGACGTGCGCAATGGCTCTCTGGCGGAAGGACCTTGACTCCGGTCCGGCGGCCCCCCTCGTCGCAAAGTGCCTACTCGCAAACGTCTGAAGGACACCAGTCTGTTTCGATGTATTTCATCGCAAATCCCCCGCGGCGGGTCCAGGCCATTTGCGAGTAGGTACGTTGCGAGTGGTGGAACGCGCTGGTCCACCAGGCGCCGCCGGGCGCGCGGTTCCATGTTCAGTTCGGCGACGCCGCACCCTGTGGCTGGACCTCCTGCTGCCTTGTTCCTGCTGCGGATTTCCTCGTTGCACACGCACAGTCTTCTCAGTCACTACGCCGCGGGTGGTCCTGTCAGCAGCTCTCGCGTATCTGAGCTCTGGCAGTTCGCTTCGTCATTCACCGCGTACTCTCCTGCATGGGTCATTGGCAATGCTTTATGCTGTCCCCAAGGTGACCGTACGCTGGACCAGTTCTATTGGGTCGCCAGGGTGGAGGAGCATCAGGAGGACAGGGAGTATAAGGAGGAAGATGAGGATGATGAGAAGGGACGGTGACAGGGAGGAGCACGATGACGAGAGACAGAATGAAGAGGCGGCGGAGGAGGAGGAGGAGGAGGAGGAGGAGGAGGAGGAGGAGGAGGAGGAGGAGGAGGAGGAGGAAGAGAACCAGTATGAAGATGGTGACAGAATTGGGAATAGCCCAGGGTCGGCGGTTCCAAGATGGGGCCCTGGAGGATGGGGCCCCGAGAACGAGTGGCCTCAGACATGGAAGGCTCAGCTCGAGATCCCTTTCCTGCTCTCAGAGCCGCATCCCCGAGGATACCACCGCTGAACCGCAGGGTCGGGGCAGGCTCCCTGTTTTGGCACAGGCCCGCCCACTGACCCACTCTGGCCCCGCCAGCTTCCGAGCCTGGCCAAGGTTGTGGCGTGACAGCGGGATCCTGGGCTCCTCCCCATCCTCGTCGTCCTCGTCCCTCGCGTCCGCTCTCCGAGCATGGAGGCTTGCAGTTGCAGAGGGTGTGATGCAGCAGCTCCAGCTGAAATAACATTGGACGTGCCGACCAATACTTCCGCTGCCTTGGCGACCATGGGGTGTGTGGCTCTGTTCCGTCATCCGCAGCGGCTCTCGGGTTTTCCCCCACCTCCTCGTCCGCCTCCTTCTCCTCTTTCCCTTCCTACTTTCTCCTCCTTCGGGGAATCAGCGATCAGCCTTGGTCGACTTGAGGTCACTGCCATCTGGGCAGGACGGAAAAGAGGAATGAACATGGGGAGACAGAGGCGGAGAGGGAAAGGGATGGAGAGGGAGGGTGGGAGGGATGGGGAATGGATAGAAAAATGAGAGAGGGAGGAAGTGATGTTGGGAGAGATGGAGGGGGAAGGAGGAGGAGGAGGGAGGAGGAGGAGGAGGAGGACGCGGAGGCGGAGGCGGAGGCGGAGGCGGAGGCGGAGGTGAAGGCGGAGGCGGAGGCGGAGGCGGAGGAGGAGGCGGAGGAGGAGGAAGAGGAGGAGGAAGAGGAGGAGGAAGAGGAGGAGGCGGAGGAGGAGGAGGATGAGGAGGAGGGAGGAGGAGATGGGGAAGGTGGAGGCGGAGGAGAAGGAGGAGGAGGCGGAGGAGGAGGAGGAGGAGGAGGAGGAGGAGGAGGAGGTAAGTATAGGAACAAAAGTCATGATGGGACGATGTTTCGTGCTCCTGTCACTATTTGGGATTCTTCTTTGGGGCTATTATCTTATGCTTCTTTCAAAATCTGCCTGCAGGAGGACATGCCCGACCTGAGTGAAGTGGGAGGGGGGAGTGAGGGAGGGAAACGCGGCCCCCCGGAGGTCAACATGTACAAGGCGGCCAGCGCGTCGCGGCCCGGGCGGCCGCTCTACGACCTGCAGGGCCCCTGGCCGGTGGAGGGTGCCCCCCCGGGCCTGCACAGTGCTTCCCTGGGCAGGGGAGGGGTTGAACGTGCCCAGGGTTCCCAGGGGCCCTGGGCTCCCGGAGCCCGTGGAGAGCTTATGAACCCTTGGAGCGACTTGCACTTGCTGGGGTGCTCTGGGCACGCCCAGGGCTCCCAGAGGAGAGCGGGGATTTGGGGCTCCCGGGGTGACGACAGCAAGCTCCGAGACGACGGGGCAGGAAGCGAAGATGAGCAGATTGCCGATCACGCCTCGAGAGGGGCAGCGAATGCGAACAGACCCCTTTCTGAAGGATGGGACGGTTTACCAGTTTGGAACATATCCCTATCCCTGTGTTTTGGCATCACCTCACCTCGATGCCGATCTTAAGGATTCCCTCGGTTTCTGAGGGCACATCCCTAAGATTGTCCTCGCTTTTTGCTAGCCCATCTTAGGGATAGGGGTAAGTGCGAGGCTGGTTACTGGTGGGACCCTATCCGTTTGGCCCTCTTCCCCGCAACCCGCACTTGCGCTTGTAATACTAAGGGGTTCCTGGCGAGGGCCCGCCACTGCGAAGTTGTCGGGGGTGGACATACCTCCTACCCCTGACACGTCGATTAGTGAATTGGCCGTTTTCGGTTCGCGAGAGGGCGTCGCGGCCGTCATTGTTGCGGGTCCAGGTCCGTCGGTTTCGGTCCCAGGCCGTTTTCGCTAAGGGGAGGTTTACTAAAGCGAGGTTTGTCCACCGCCGAAGTTGGGCTATCTGGTTCACCGAGCATAGCAATCTTTGTTATGCTGCACAATGCTCCAGGGGCTACCGTATTCGTGTCACGGTTTGGCCTTGAGCCGACATTGCTACAATTCCCCGCGGGCCGAAATTGCTAGAATCCCCCCGTCAAGGATCTCCGATGGTCTTGTAGCGTCAGGATCGGCAGTGCGCGTGTTGACGACTTGTGTCGCGGTCGTGTCACGTTTTGGCCGCGACCCGAAATTGCTACAGTCCACCGCAGGCCGACATTGCTACAATCCCCCCCTTCAGGGATCTCCGTTGACTTCGAGGCGTCAGGATCGGCACCATGCTTGCCGACGACTTGTGTCGCGGTCGTGTCACGTTTTGGCCGCGGGCCGAAATTGCCACAATCCCCCGCAGGCCGAAATAGCTACATCTCCCCTTCAGGGATCTCCAAGGGCCTCGAGGCGACAACGTTGCAGCATGCGTGTCGACGACGTGTGCGGCGACCACTTGGGCTCAAGCCACTCTCGTCGTACCTCTTCACTTTTCCCTCTCTCCCAAGCCCTGAGGGAGAAACGCATGTGAGCATGTGTGCGGGTGGGCTGCCTTTCGGTATGGTTGAAGGGGCCCTGGGACACACAAATAAATACACAAATAAAAAGATGCCCAATCTTTTCCCATATTTTCTGGGTTTCTGTCTTCCCCCCCCCCACTTCCCATATTTTCTCATATTTCCCTGGGGGTCGACGATTAATGGTGTCTGTGTTTTTTTCTCCCTCCTGAATGGTGGGGTTTGGGGGAATTGCCTGGGGGCACCCCTCGCCTCTCCTCTGTCGTCCACTGCGCGGGGGGGCGAAGAAGGGGGGTGGCGAGGAGGGATGCTTGGCTGGGCGCTCCACCAACCCGTGCTTGCCGAAGGCGGCCTACCCAAGTCAGAGGCCAGCAACATATGCACACGTACGCGGTTAGCTTCCCCTGGAGTGCGTGTCAACGCGGACGTTCGTGCAGGCAAGACCGCGGAGGGCGTACATGTACATATGTCGTTGCTCGCCCACCAAGGTAGGTACCTGGTTTTTCCTACTGCGACGACACCCTGGAACAATTGTGCCGAGCCTCGCACCCTGGCTGCGCAGATCGACTACCAAACGGGATTGCGCGCAATCCCCAAGTCGTGTGCGGTGTGGCTGGGAGCCCCCTCCCAAGCAGGGTCCTGAGTGCGAATTGCTTCGGAGGAATGACTTGGACGAGGACGGGGATAATAGGCAGGAGGAGGAAGAGGAAGAGGAGCAGGAGGTGGAGGAGGAGGAGGAGGAGGAAGAGGAGGAGGAGAGGGAGGAGGAGGAAGAGGAGGACCAGGAGGAGCAGGAGGATTAATATAATTGTGATGGTAATGATGCTGGATATGGCGACGAGGGTGGTGATGACGGTGATTGCGCCGACGACGCTGATTACGAAGCCGTTGCCGATGCCGAGGATGATGGCCGTGAAGGCAATGTGTAGTGGCGATGGTGGTGGTGGTGGTGATGACGAAGACGACGAGGAGGGCGAGGAGAACGAGGAGGAGCGGCAGGAGTCGTAGGAGGAGTGCTCGGAGGACTCGGGGGGCGAATTGAGGACGAGGGAGGGTCGCTTTCGCGGCGCGCGGAGCATCCTGCCAGGCACTCCCTGGCCCGACATCCACTGGGCGCTGGGCTCGGCGGCGCCTGGCCGGTCGTCCTTCAGCATCGTCGGCCTCGCCGCGCTCGCGCGCCGCCTGCTGCTGCTGCTGCTGCAGCTGCTCCTACTCCCTGTTCGCCTGCTGCGCCTCTCCTTCCTTCCTTCCTCCTCCTCGCTCCTTCCTCCTCCTCCTCGCTCCTCTCGCTCCTCCTTCTCCTCGCTCTCCTTCTCCTCGCTCCTTCCTCCTCCTCCTCGCTCCTTCCCCCTCTCCTTCCTCCTCCTCGCTCTGCCCTCGTGGACGCTGCCCCTCTGCCGCCCCCCTTCCCCTCGTTGCCGGTGAGTGGCGGCCACCGGCCGGCAGCGATGCTCTCGGATTTGTGCGCAGGGGTGGCTTTGCGCTGTGGCGCGTGGATGGAGGTCCCACTGGAAAAATGATGATTTCGGTATTCAAGCTCCCGTGATGAGGGGTCAGGGTCTCAGCACAGAAGCACACCTCGTATGACGTTTGGTCGTCCTCCACGCCTCTCTTCCTGCTCCCTACATCTTCCTCCGTTCTCTCATCCTCCCTCCCTCCTTCTTCATCTCTCTCCCTTCTCTTCCTGGACTCCTCGCTCCTCCTCCTTTTCCTCCTCCTCCTCCTGCCCCCCCCGTCTGCTCTTCCTCTTCCTCCTCCCTCTCTGCCCTACGGTCGGGAACTATTGGTTAGCGTGTCGCGCTTCTGGTTTCCGGCCCACCACGCTTCGGCGCGACTCGCCAACCACTTCCCTGCCCCCGAGCGTCAACGTCCCGAGCCTTTCCCTTCCTCCCGCCTCGCGGAGGGGAGCGGCACGCCATACACTTGCGGGGTACAGCGTGTCGCCGAAGCCGCCGCCGCGACATGCTGAACACAAGTTCCTGACCGTAGTCGGTCGCCCTGCTGCTGCTGAGCACCTCCGCCCCGCGGGGTCGGTGCGCCCTCGCGGCATCCAGCGTGGCTGCGTTCGGGTACGACAAATCCCCCCCCCCCCCCCCCCCTGCCCAGCCCTAGTGGACTCCCGACTTTGGGAAACTCGGGGAGGAGTGAGAGTGTGCATCGACTTTAACCTCTGGCCAAGACGTTTCGAGGCTTTCGTCAGATTCATGTCCCTGCAATGTGGAAAAATGAGTTGCTCCATATGTTCTTGAGCTTGAGCTTTCTGTGAATTCGGTGATGTCTAACGACACAGTTTACCTGCAGAGCGATCAAGGGAGTTTATTCATCGGGATTTCCCTCTCGCGCTGGCCCCCTCCCTCTCTCTCTCTCTCTCTCTCTCTCTCTTTCTTTCTCCATAGCCTGTCTTCGGCTCCCTCCTTCCCACCCTGGGAAGAGTGAGTGAGTGAGAGTGTGCATCGACTTTGACGTCTGGCCACGGCGTTTCGAGGCTTTCGTCAGATTCATGTCCTAGCAATGTGATAAAACGAGTTGTTCTGATGATGCTGCTGCTGATGCTGGTGAGGATGATGATTCGGAGGAAGACGAGGATGAGGAAGAGAAGGAAGCGGCAAAGGAGGAGGAAGAGGAGGAGGCGGAGAAGGGGAAGGAGCGGGACGAGGTGAAGAAGGAGGAGGTGTAGGAGGACGAGGAGGAAAAGGAGAGGTTTGATGATGAAGATGATGAGAAGGCGGAGGAGGAACTTCCGGAGGAGGTGGATGAGGAGTAGGAGGAGGAGGAGGGGAGAAGGATATAGGATATGATGAGGATGATGATGACCATGATGATGACGCTGTTAGCAGGATGACGATGACGATGCTTATGATGATGACGGTGACGATGATGACGACGATGATGATGGCGATAACGATGATGATGCTGATGGTGATAAGGATGAGGGTCATGCTGCTGTTGGTGATGATGATGCGGATGAAAGTGATGATGATGATGATGCTGATGATGGTGATGCTTATAAGAAGGATGGTGCCATGATGAAGCTGTTGATGATGGTGGCGATGCTAATGATGATGATGATGATGATGATGATGATGATGATGATGATGATGATGATGATGATGACGATGGTGATGATGATGATGCTGATGCAGATGATGATGATGATGATGATGATGATGATGATGATGATGATGGTGATGATGTGATGAGGAGGAGGCGGAACAGGATAATTGGGAGGAGGGCAAGGAGGAGCGAGAAGGACATAAATAAGGGGTTGAGGGTCGGAAGGGCTAAGCTGCTATTCAATTTCCTGTGTTTCATGCTGCATTTGAGTGCCCACACTTGTTCGGTAGCTTGGGATTGTACTGGCCTCCTTCCGAACCGGAAGGCTTAACACGACACTCTCCAGGCGCTCTGCTTTCCGTTTGTGTCCGCGACCATGGAGACTGAGCCTCGCGCCCCCAACTTGGCCAACCAGTCGCGCTAAGGACTTGAACATCCAGCTGACGTACATGCCATTCGCAGCGGCTGGGAGGCTCAACCTTGCAGAGTCTCTGTGGGAGTTTCTCGAACGCAACAAGGCATTACCGGCACGCGCGATATCACCATCGTCATATCTCACTCTTGACCACCACCCGTATGTTGCCCTTTTACTTCTTCGCACGAACAGCTGACTGGGTTTCTCTGGTGCAGTTCTCTCATCGTTGGTCAGTGGCAGTGCCAGTGACAGCTGTAGCAGTGCACGGGAGCGATCGTCGGAGGAGTGCCAGTTGATACAAACGGCGGCTCGCCCGCCTGGCCCACATCCGCTCCTACTCGGTCCCCCGGGCCCCTCCCAGGATCCCTCCTGACCTGTTCTTGAGGCGGGTCGAGCCGTGTCGAAGGCCCAGCAAGGACCACAACGCCAACGAGCGCCGCCGTGGTTTCGACCACGAAAATCCGACGCCGTGTTTGTGCTTCCTTTCTCTCAAAAAGAAGACCCCCAGAGGTCTGGACCCCTTCCCCAGGACTGGCTTTTCGTCCTGGGTCGTTCTTTGACGGCCCTGGGGGCCCCGTAGAGCCCCCCTAGGGCCCGTCCATGGCGACAGCACTCCCGCCGCACCTTTTTCTTTCGGCCACGGCGCGAGGAGGCCACCCAACCCTCCCACAGGCCATCGTGGTCACCCGGGCTGGTGAGGGGGTTAGCGTTAAGGCGGGCATGTCCCTCTACAGGACGACTTTTCAAGGATGGTACACGAATATTCAGGGTCGATTTTCTGTACTGCTCTTATTCTGATTGAGTAAACTTTGGCTATTCCGCACTTTTCTTCGGGAATCCGCCTGTAGAGGAGGACGTGCCCGACCTGAGGTTAGCGAATCGGCTCACGCAGCTGGCTCCCCCGGCGCACCCTGGCGCCGGGTGGCGGAGGCGCTCCTGGCGCCAGAGGCGCCAGGATGTGCACGCACTGGCGCCTCCGGCGCCAGAGTGCGCCTTGAGCTCTCGGGCGAAGAGAGCTATGCACACGCACCGATCCTGGCAAGGCCCATCCTTGGCCCCAGGATCGGTGCACATGCCTTCCTGGCCAAGGTCGGAGGGCGTATGCACCGATCCTGGGCTCAGGATGGGCCTGGCCAGAATCGGTGTATGTGCATAGTTCTTTTCTCCTCTATTGAGTGCACTCGATGCATGATGCATCGAGGGGAGCGCCCGGTGGCGGGGCCGAAACGAGCTGCCAGGAGCCGTGCCTCGAGCGGCAGCGCGTCCCGAGGGGGGGGATCGGCCGGCGCCGCTCCTCCGGGCGGCAGCCAGCAGGCGGCGCGCGTGCCCTGCCGAGCGTTACGGTGAAAATCCATAGTAAGGACGGGTCGGCTTCCCAGGGGCACCCTTGCGTCCTTAGATTTGTTCGGCAGTGCGCCGCTAGAACAGCATGCATTGGGGCGTCCAAGGACCGTCCAAGGGTCTTGCGTCCTTGCAGCGCGTCCTTACTACAGATTGTGACTGTAAGTCGGGCATGTCCCTCTCTAGGAGGAATGTTCAAGAAGAGTCGCAACATCGTCCGCGGACGAGTTTTCGTTCTCTTGTGAATATTTTTTTGTTAAAAAAATGAATAAACAAATATTTTTCACTCTTCTTCCAGAATCCGCCTGTAGGAGGACATGCCCGACCTCGGCCGAGCGCGCAGGAGAACCTCATCAACAACGTGGCGCCCGAGTGGCGCAACGACTCCGCCGCCGCGCCCTCCCTCGCGTCGGGCCCGGGCCTCGGGCGAGCCCGTGGTCCGCACGCGGGGGGAGCCCCCGAGATCCGGGCGCTGCTCTTCGGTGGCACGCCGGGCGTCCTCGCCCGATCTCGGGCCCCGTGGCCCTCGCACGTCGATCTCTTCCTCCTTTATCCTCCTCCTCCTCCTCCTCCTCCTCCTCCTCCTCCTCCTCCTCCTCCTCCTCCTCCTCCTCCTCCTCCTCCTCCTCCTCCTCCTCCTCCTCCTCCTCTTCCCTTTTCCTCCTCCTCCCTCCTCCTCCCTCCTCCCTCCTCCCTTTTCCCCCTCCTCCCTCCTCTCCTCCTCCCCCTCCTCCCCCTCCTCGCCTCCTCCTCCGCCTCCTCCGCCTCCTCCTCCTCCTCCTCCACATCATCATCAGCGAGATGAGGTCCAGGGCCCTGGCCGCGATGCTGAACGATGGTGCGCTTTGGTCGCCACGTCCGATCTCGGCGAAGAGAGCTCGGGCCGCTCCTCAGACCCGGCTCGGGGAGCTCATCCCGTGGCCGACGCTGGCCGTGGCCAGAGGAGCCCCTCCCGCTCCTCCTCCTCCTCCTCCTCCTCCTCCTCCTCCTCCTCCTCCTCCTCCCCCTCCTCCTCCTCCCCTCCTCCTCCTCCTCCTCCTCCTCCTCCTCCTCCTCCTCCTCCTCCTACTCCGATTGCTGTAGCTTTAGGTCGGGCGTGTCCTTGTACAGGCGGATTCTGAACTAAAAAGTATAAGATAGTCGATCAATATTCAAACATAGTCAACAATAATCAAGCATCGTCCCCTCCGCTCCTCACTCGCCGCCCCTTATGGTAGCACGATGGCTGTAGCTTTAAGTCGGGAGTGTCCTTGTACAGGCGGATTCTGGACTAAAAAATGTAAGATAGGCGAACAATGCTCAAACATAGTCAGCAATCATCAAACATCGTCCCCAGACTACTTGTTTATAACTATTTGGGAATCTTCCTCCTGTAGAGGGACATGCCCGACCTAACTGTAGCTCTGGAGGTGCCACGAAGCGTCGAGCGTGGCGTCTGCCGTGCAGGAGGGTCTGTCCGTGCACGTCCCTGGGGTAGCGAGACGGGCTCTTTCAGGGGCAACGTCAGTGGGGGTTAGGCTCAAGTCTGGCATGTCCCTCTGGGGACGATTTTCCCATTATCTTTGACTGTTGCTGGGCATGTCTTGACTATTTTTCGTTTTTCTTCCCAAATCCGCCTGCAGGAGGACATGCCCGACCTAAGGTTAGACTCAGGGGGAACGCATCGACCCTCGATCTCCCATGCATCTCCGTTTGGGGGGGCTCGATACACCACCCCGCGCAGGCCCGCGCGGGTTCGCCGTCGGGGGTCTGCCGCCGATCCATCGGCGATGCCTCGGGCCGATTCCGGGTCGAGGCTTCCCCTCCCGAGCCCCGGGCCCCCTTTCGTTGCCCCCCACTTGTCAAAGGGGGCAACCGGGGGGCGTGCGGTGGGAAGGCTCACGCTTCCAGGTAAGAGTGCTGCAGCTTTTTCCTGCTCATTTTTTTGTTGTCTCTCTCTCATTCTCTCTCTCCTCTCGCTCTCTCTCTCTCTCTCTCTCTCTCTCTCCCCCTCTCCCTCTGGTTTATCTTTCCCCAGTGCTGCCATGGACACTACTAGTCGTCAGGAACGGAGAGTGCGATGATGACGATGATGATGCTGCTGCTGGTGATGCTGATGACGACGGTGACGATGATGATGCTGCTGATGATAATGTTACTGCTGACGAAGATGGTAACGACGACGATGCTGCAGCTGATGATGATGAGGCTGCCGATGATGATGATGATGGTGATGATGATTATGATGATGATGATGATGATGATGATGATGATGATGATGATGATGATGATGGTGATGATGATGAGGTTGATGCTTCTGCTGATGATGGTGCTGGTGGTTATAGCGATGATGCTGCTGTTGTTGATGATGATGATGCTGATGATGATGCTGCTGATGATGATGATGCTGCTGATGTTGACGATGCTGCTGCTGCTGCTGATGATGATGATGATGATGATAATGATGATGCGGAAGAGAAGGATGAGGATTATGTTGAGTATCATTATGATGATGTGGAGGAGGAGGAAGAGGAGGAGGATGTGGATTGCCTCTGCCGCGCTGCGACGATACAGCTGACTAGATCTCTTCCCTGGACGGGTGTTCACCCCGAGCAGTTTTTGACGGTCTCGGGCTTCAGCGAGGGCCCCCGCTTCCCGAGGCTGAATATTGAACAAATTCTTTTCGTGCCTGTTTCGCGCCGAGGCGGACACTGTCCTTGAAAGATCCATACGCTTAGGCGGACCCTGTCCTTCAAAGATCCAGAATGGCAACGGCTGTGTGCCCTGTCGCAGTCGACATCCTCAAGCTGGGTATTGACCGCGTCCTGGCGGACGCCACGCCTCTCCATGTACTTCCCAGCGCAAGGAGTGCTCCGTCCCGAGGGTACTCCCCTATGTGAGAGTTCAAGTCACCAGTCAGCTTTTCTCTCCCCGTGCTTTATTTTTGAGGAGGTGGGGGGTGACCGCAACATGTGTGGGTTGGACCACTTTTCCGAGGGTAGTGTTTATCACTGGATCCATTGTTCATGGCCCCAGGCCTCGAAAGTGCGCCTGAGGGGCCGAAGTGGAGGAAACACGCCCGGATTCTTGCTAATCAGGCTGTCGGAGATCTGTTGGGACCTCCGACCGCAGCCTTGACAGGCCCCCCGAAATCGGCTACACGTGGGAGTGACCCATCGCCAGCGTGACCCTGGGTGCAGACCCGCAGGCCACGAGGGGCTCCCCCAGCTCGTGCTGGCGCGCTTGAGCTTGGCCTCCAGCGCCCCCCGAAGGCCGCGCATCAGAGGCCTCCTCCTCCTCCGCTCCTCCTCCTCCTCCTCCTCCTCCTCACCTCCTCCTCCTCCTCCTCCTCTCCTCCCTCATCCTCCCCCTCCTCCTCCTCCTCCTCCTCCCCTTCTCCTCCCCCCTCCTCCTCCTCCTCCTCCTCCTCCTCCTCCTTTTTCCTCCTCCTCCTCCTCCTCCTCCCTTGCCAAGGGCCAATCCCCTGAGATTGGACGTTGCGAACACATTGAAACATCGCATGCACCTTACATTTTCCGGTGCCGTTTTCCAGTTGGATCGATCTGTCAGGGCTTCGGGGTCCGACCCAGTGCGAACTCCCCCATTGTGAAACAGTGCAGCGCCAGAATCTGACGGTTGAAGGCTGCCTGCGGCTCTGGTCGGCTCTGGTCGGCTTCGGTTTCGCTGTCGGCCCCGTCGGCGGTCGCCTCGGCCCAGAGGTGGCGCAGGTGCAGTCGCGCTTTGTGCGGGGCCCCCCCGGGGATCCGCGCGAGTATCCAGACCCCCCCCCCTGGCCAGAGCCTTTATGGACGACGATCCATGGAGAGGAAGCGTGCTGCCAGATGATTCCCAGATGTCTAACGCATGTTGTAAACACGAAAAAGAACATGTTCCAAACATGTCTAGAACATGCTTCACACATTTTAAAGGCAAATGCTATTCAATGATAGAACGGTTAGCGTGCCCCGTGGGCTCGGCCGTGGCCGCCCCGCGCGCCCGTCCGCGCGGCGCCTCCGCCCCCGCATGGCGCGGCGGCGCGGCCGCGGCGGCTGCCTCCGCGGCCGCCCGCGGCCCCGCCCCGGGCGCCGGCGCTGAGGGCCGGCTGCAGAGATCGCTGTACCGTGCAACAGTTGCAGGGCGGCTGCAGTCCACTCGCTGGGCACCTGCAGGATGAGGAGGAGGAGGAGGAGGAGTAGGAGGAGGGGGAGGAGGAGGAGGAATAGTAGTAGTAGTAGTAGTAGTAGTAGTAGTAGTAGTAGTAGTAGTAGTAGTAGTAGTAGTAGTAGTAGTAGTAGTAGTAGTAGTAGTAGTAGTAGTAGTAGTAGTAGTAGTAGTAGTAGTAATAATAATACTAATAATAATAATAAGAAAAAGACGAGGAGGAGGAGGAGAAAGAAAAAGACAAGGATGAGGAGGAGAAGGAGGAGGACGAGGACGAGGAGGAGGAGGAGGAGGAGGAGGAGGAGGACGAGGAGGAGGACGAGGAGGAGGAGGAGGAGGAGGAGGAGGAGGAGGAGGAGGAGGAGCCGGTGCGCTCCGATCTTGCCCACCAGCCGCTCCAGGAGGGGGCCCCGCCCTGCTCTCCCGGCCTGGGAGCAGTGGGGCGGGCCTGCACACGCCACGTGCAGGCGCCTCCAGCGAGGGGGCTGCGGCATCTCGAAGCTGTTGCAGGTGTCAGGCTCGAGCGGAACGGTGTTCCGAGGCTCATTTCGACTCCTCCGATTCGATTCGATTCGATTTCGAAAGATTCTGATGCCGATTCGATTCGAGTGCGGACTCCGATTTGGATTCCGATTCCTCAGTGGAGGCCTATTCGCCTGCCGATTTCTGTCGCTTCGACTTCTCCCGACGTCGCTGCCTATATCCGCCGATCCGATTCATTTCGATCGCCGATCCGACATGTCGATTCGATTCGGGGCTCTCCTGGTGTTTTGGCGATCTCGTGGGCCGCTTTCGTTCTGACTTCGTCTCGCAGCAGAGGCAGAGCGCAGGCAGAGCGAAGGAAAAGGCGAACACAAGCCGCGAGCGCGAACAACACCGTTTCGCTGGAGCCCTGGCAAGTATTGCAAGCCGAACCGACCACTACAGCGCGGCGGATGCCAGCCGCGGAGGCCCTGGGCGCCGGCGAGCCCGACTCGCCGGCCTCGCCCGCCTCGCAGGGCTGGTCGACGCCTGGGGCCGTCCGCCGGTGCTCGGGTCGTGAATCGGGCCGGGCGAAAGGGGGGGAATTGGGAAAGGGGGGGTTACCAACGTTGCTGCATGCAGCCGGTTTCGGCCTCACCGAGAGGCCCATTCCTCGATACATAGCCGCCTCCGGCGCCGGGGGGCGCCAGGAAAATCAGCTACGTGGGCTGATTAACAAACCCCCCCGTTGCTATCCCCCCCTTTCGCCCGACCCGAGTGAACAGAAACACGACGGACAGGTTTTCACCCTTTTCGAGGTTTTGGGGCCCTGGTCAGACCCCAGGGCCGTCAGAAAACGACTCGGGATGAGGAACCGGTCCTGAGGTATGGGTCGAGACCTCCGGGGGTCCACGTTACGAAAAAATGATGACGTCGACGACGACGGCGAGGAGTAATTGGGAGAAGGACCGGTGTAAACCCAAGACTCATTAACGATCTTGCAATAATCCCTCCCTCCAAGTTCCCTCTTCATAGGCTCCTACACGGAGTCATTTTTACTGAAGGGAGTGCCGCGTTAATTGATTGAAAATCTGGAATTGTGCCAGAACGCCATTCCTGGGACATCACCGCCGCGAATCACCGTTGCTGTTGCGTTTTCGCGATCCTGATAAATGCCAGAAAGCCATTCCTGGGATGCCAACGCCGCGGATCAATGTGACTGTTGCGCCCGGGCTGTCCCACATCATGCCCAAACACTGTTCTGGGACGTTAACCATGAAAATCCTTGAACCTGTTGCATGAAAAAACGAATGTGCGCGCGCTGAGGCGAGAGCCACGTTTTGAAAAGGAACCGCCCCCATCAGCGAATCTCTTGCACAACATTGTAATACGAATGGTCGCGGCGCTAAGGTGAGAGCCACATTTTGAAAACGGGCCGCCCTTCATCCGTGAATCTCTTGAAGCTTTTGAGACGAATGTGCGCGGCGCTAAGGCGAGAGCCACATTTTGAAAGCTGGCCGCCCTCCATCCGTGAAGCTCTTGCGAACTGTAAGCTTCAGGGTCATCAAGGGTGAGGAGGTCTCAGTCGAACCGCCCGGCCCGCCCTTTCGACCGGCCTCGGGGTGCGACAGGACGGAGATATCTATAATGAGCAGGGATGGAGGAGGAGAAGGAGGAGAAGGAGGAGAAGGAGGAGGAGGAGGAGCAGGAGGAGGTGGAGAAAAAAAAGGAGGAGGTTGAGGAGGAGGAGCATGTACCGATATCGGTGCTCGTCCTGGAGAGCTTCCGTCGCCACGGCTGGATCCTTTCCGAAATTCTGGTCGAAACGCGCCCCAGGAGAGGGCCGGAGAGTAGCGGTGTCGGTTTTGTGTTTGTCCCTCTCAGGCGCAGCTCTCAGCAGCTTTCCGTCGCCTGGGAGGATCCGGGGCAGCGTTGGGGGGCGAGGGAGGGAAGGCTCAAGGGGAAACGTTGGGGCAACGTTGGGAGGATCAGGGGGCAACCTTGGGAGGATCAGGGGGCAACGTTGGGGGAGGCGCGAGGGAAGGCTCAAGGGGGGACGCATCGACCTGGAATCGCCCATCGATCGCCGATTGGGGCCCGATAGCCCTCCCCCGCCCAGGAGCGTGTGGTTTCGCTGTCGGGAGCCCATCTGACTGGTTCCCCCCAGTTCGACGACAACCCTTCCAAACCCCTCTGGAAACAGATAGCCCTCCCCCGCCCAGGAGCGTGTGGTTTCGCTGTCGGGGGCCCATCGCCGATCTACCGTAAGACCGCCAAGGGTTCGCTAGGGGCTAATGACTGGTTCCCCCTAAAACGACGACAACCGCTCCAAAACCCTCTGGAAACAGTGCGGCAAGCCTCCCCGAACCCTTCTTGAAGGGTTCTGGCGGGTTTCGGGAGGGCTTCGGCTATTCCGAGGGGAAGCAAACTTTTAGCGAACCTTGGACTTCTAGGACTTCCAATGTAGGCTATGTATCGCCGATTCCAGGTCGATGTTTTCCCCCTTGGGCCGGTTCCCCTCCTACACGCCAGTCGCTGAAGGTGGGTAGCTTTGGATTTCCAGATGCCAACCTTTTTCATGCAACTTACGACTTAAGAAACGGTATTATTATGTTGTTGTTGTTGTTATTCTTTGGGCGGCCCTTGAACCCAATCTACTTGATCGAGGTCAGGAGCTCCGCGCGGACCGCCAAAGGATTGCGATGACGCTGTTTTTTGCTCCTCTACTTTCTCCCTACTTTCTCCGCCTCGTGCTTCAGGCCCCTCCGCCGAGGGGTCGACCCCGTCGGAGCGGGGGGGGCCACGACGGCGGCACCTCTCCCGCCCGCCCCCGCGCCCGCCCGAGCTCCGTCTCCGAGCCTCTGCCCTCGGTGCACCCCAGACCTGCTCTTCGAGGCGCATGCGGCCGCGGCGACGAGATGCCCGCGGGAGGCCCAGCAAAGACGACGAGGCACGCCTCGACTGGCCCCTTCAGAGGACGAGACGCCTCCGGCCGCTGGGGCGGCGCCGCAAGCGCAGGCCGCGGCGTTCGGCTCCGGCAGCGTCTTCGACGTCGATGTGCGCGCGGGCGCGCCAGCGCCCTTCGCGCTGCCCTGCGCGCGGTACCTGGAGGAGTCGCTGCCGGGCGTACAAAGTTCGGTGGCGAGCGAGGGGGGGAGAAGAGAAGGAGAAGGCCTTCGCAGAGGGCGGCTGGGCTTCTCAGAAGCCCTCGCGCCTTCCGAGAGGTTGTCCATGTCTTGGGGGGAAGGCCCAGTTCTCAGAAGGGCCGAGGCCTTCCGAGTCTCCTGAGCAGGCCCGCCCCGTTTCGCTTTCCCCCCCCCCGCGCTCGCCGCCAAAAAGTGGCCTTTCGCTGGAGTGACAGTTTGGTGCGGGGCACACAGGGGTCGGAGGAAGGAGGCGGAGGTGGAGGAGGAGGAGGAAGAGGAGGAGGAGGAGGAGCAGGAGGAGGAGGAGGAGGCGGAGGAGGCGGAGGAGGAGGAGGAGGAGGAGGCGGAGGAGGAGGAGGAGGCGGAGGAGGAGGAGGATGATGATGATGAGGAGGAGGAGGAAGAGGAGGAGGATGGATCCCACCAACACTGGCTTGCGCGCCTGGACTACCTGGATTAGAGGCCTTCCCAGGGGCACCCCCTCGAGCCGCGCACCAAGGGTCACTCCTGCCTGTGGTCGAGTCGGGTAGGTGTCCCTACAGGCGGAATGTTCAAAAGTAGGTCAACATAGTCTGGGGGCGATTTTTCGTCTAATGTTGAAAGTTTATCAGAGTACTTTTTGACTATTTTCATTTTCCCTCCAAAGTCTGCCTGTAGGAGGACATGCCCGACCTAAGCCTATGGTCAATCTTGCGTGCAGCGGAAGGAGTCGCTGCTGGGCATGCGGGTCGCCCCGAGGTCCGAGGCGGGGATTTCTCCACAGCCACCGCCCAGGGGATCGATCTTCGGGGACCTCGGCGGGCGTTGGACATGCATCTAACTCTTGGGGCCCTGGGGGGCCAAATCTGTCCATATCCACCGCCTGCCGAGGTCTCCGAAGATCGGCACCCGTGGCGGTGGTTACAGTCGGCCCTGATTAGTAGGTCGACCCTGCCAAATCAAGGGTATCTTTTTGTCCTGTGCCTCGCGACCCAAGCCTCCTACATTCCCATGGCAATGGGGCCCTCGGAAGGGCCTTGTGCCCTCCCGCGTGTCCTGCCCATTCACGTCGGACTGCATCGGATAGATCCCCTCATCGCACGAGTAACTTGCGTGAGCTGCTGGCGGTCGTCGACGGCGACTCCCAGTCGCCGCGCCGCACTTCCGCCGGCGCCGCGTGGGGCAGCTCGTCCCCGGCCGGCGCCGCCGCCTCGCTGCAGTGGCGGCGGCTCCGCCAGGTGCTGAGCTCGGCGGCGGCGCACGACGTCTGCACCGCGTTCTTCTGGCTGGCCGTGGCCGTCCTCTTCGGGAGGGCGCGCGAGGCGGACGTGCGGGAGGCGGAGAGATCGCTGGCGAGGAGCTGGCACCGCCTCAACATCGAGGCTGGCGAGGTCTGCTCGAGCCAGTCCACTGCCAGCTCTTACATGGGTGCCAGGGACGAGACGCTGGATGCGCTGCCCACTTTGATAGTCCAGGCGGTCTTCAGGCTGCTCGTGGACGCCTTCGACGAGGAGCGTGCTGAGGTAGTGAAGCAGGCGGAGCCACTTCTCGACAAGCTGATGCTGATGGTGCACTACGAAGCGTCTGGCTTCCAGATGAATGTCTCCACCTGCCGCGAGCTGAGGCGGAAGCTCTTCCGCCAGCACGTGACGGAGCAGCCGGCATTGGATCTGCAGGAGTCCCTGAGGCTGCAGCAGCGGCGCGACCAGCTGGAGAGGGAGAACACAAAGGGGCAGCACCCGCTGTCCTTTGGGCCCGGCGGAGTCGGCATGGAGGACCTGCAGCTGCAAAGCGTGCTGCAGAACCGCAGGAAGGAGAAGAAAGAGCGCGACCTCTATCGCCGTGCCACGGGGATCCCCCTGGGCCCAGACCCCGGCAGCCCACCCTTCGAGCTCACCGTGGACCACTACGGCAGGGTGCGCCGGGAGGGCCTCGCCAGGCTGGACGCGCTGCGGGGCGCCACGACGGAGCCCACGGCTGGCCTCGGCCCCGGCGGGGGCGACCACGAGAGCGACGCCTCTGCGTCCGCGCTCGAGGCCGCACCGGCCGCACAGGGCGAGGGCGGCCGCGAGGCCCCCGAGGGCGTCATGACCGTCGCCCTCGGTAAGGCCCTGGCCAAGAAGGTGCGAAGGAGCGAGGTGAAGAGAGCTATGCACAGACACCGATCCTGGCCCACCCCTGGCCCAGGATCGGTGCAAATGCCTTCCTGGCCAAGGCGGGAGGGCGTATGACCTGATCCCGTGCTCAGGATGGCCCTGGCCAGAACCGGTATATGCGCATACTCCTCTTCCCCCTAGAGGAGCGAGGTGAAGGCGGCGGAGCGCAGCCGCCGCAAGGAGCAGCTGCGCCGCCACCTGCTCGGCGAGTCGCTGCCGGAGCCGCTGCGCGCGGGCGCCATCGAGACCTGCGGGGTGTCGCCCCTCTGCGGGTGGCTGGAGCCGAAGGTCCGGGTGGGGCCTAAGGTGTCCCCCGCCAGCCCCTCCTCCTCCTCCTCCTCCTCCTCCTCCTCCTCCTTCTTTCCTTCCTTCCTCCCTTCCTTATCCTTCTCCTCCTCCTCCTCCTCCTCCTCCTCTTCCTCCTCCTCCCCCGCCCCTCCCATCCTCGCTGCAGCTCCCAGTCCTCGTCGTGCCTCCTCCCACCTGCTTCCTCCCTCCTCCCTTCTCCCTGCCTCCCCGATCTCTCTCCCCCCTGGGGTCCTGTGGGGGCGCTGAGGGCGCAGTCGGGCCCGTAGAGCGCCGCGGAGGCGGCTCGCGGGCGCCCCCGAGGCAGCCGCGGAGCGCCCCGGTGTCCCTGGCCAACGGCGCTCCCCCCCCCCAGCTTTTCTCACTCCAGCTTGTCGGGGAAACGCAAGGCTCAAGTTCGCCACTCAGGCTTGCCGACGCTGCTTGACGGAGCAGTCCTGGATTCTGACGGTCCAGTTTTCGTGGGATGCTTGCAGCGGGACCTCGCGTCAAGTTCTAGACGGGGTCTCGTCATTTTCCTGGCGGCCCCGTGAGGCCAACCCGAGTCCCCCGAACTCGAATCTTGCGTCTCCCCGATCTTGGAGCTTCTGGAGCCCTCGGGGCCTCCCCGACGAAACCCTGGGGCGTCGCCCCTGTGCGGGTGGCCAGGGCCGACTTTGCTCTGCGCGCATACTTCTCGGATCGGCTCTGAGCCCCCCGGCGGCGCGCTCTCTCGCGGCAGGGAGGAAGGCCCCGGCGCCGATCCCAGAAGTCTGCGCGGACCTCCGACAGTCGATGCCCGTGCTCTGTCATGCGGGCGCCTCCCCCCAGGCTTGCCGCCCGCGGGCCCAAGACACCCGCGCGGAGCTCCGACGGCTCGTGCCCGTGCCACCCCCTCTTCCTCCTCCTGCTCCTCCTCCTCCCCCTCCTCCTCCATCGCTTTCCCTTGCAGAGAACGCCTCCCTGCATGGGCCCTCAGGTGGACGGCCGCCGGCTGGTCGAGAAGCGCATGCGGGAGAACTTCCGGCTCGCCATGAAGACGCCGCCGCTGCCGGGGCCCTCGGCCGCCGCCGCGGAGGCCCAGGCCGCCAGGGACCCGCGCGCCGCGCCGCTGCCGCACGTGCGCAAGGCTCCCACGGCGCGGGCCTGCGCCCGCCCCAGCGTCCTGGAGTCCGGGGGCGTCCAACCCAGACCCCCTCGCGTGGCGAAGAAGTCGCGACGGGGGGTGTTTCGCTATCTGCGGCCTCTTGGGGGCCCTTCCGGGGCCTCGGGGCCGCCAACAAAGGCGACTCGGGATGACAAGCCGGTCCCCGGGAAGGGGTCCAGACCTCTGAGGGGCACGTCATGAGAGAGTCACAACGTCGGGGGTTTGGGAAGAGGGGGGGGGGACTGTATGGGGGGTGGGTGGGGAGGTAGTTGTCATGGCCAGGGACACGACATCCCCCCAGCTCTCCTGGCCCGCTTTTCTTCTCTTAAGGCGTCCCCGGGTCCCCCCCCTGCCCCGTTATCATGGCCAGGGCCACGGCATACCCCAGTTCTCCTGGCCCGTTTTTTCCTGATCTCAGCGCGTCCCCGGGCCCTCCCCCCCCGTGATCATGGCGAGGGCCACGGCATCCCCCCAGCTCTCCGGGCCCTCTTTTGTCGGTTCTCAGTGCGTCCTCTGCTCCTGCTCCTGCTCCTGCTCCTGCTCCTGCTCCTGCTTCTGCTCCTCCTCCTCCTCCTCCTCCTCCTTCTCCTCCTCCTCCTCCTCCTCCTCTTCCCTTTCCTCCTCCGCCTCCTCCTCCTCCTCCTTTGCTTGAGGGGTGAAAAGCACGCCGACCGCACCTCATGTACAATCCTACAGCAGTGACTTTGCGCTCCCCACCCGCTCGCCTCGGGGGCAGGGGGGACTGGGGAGCACTCATGGCGACGACCGTGTGACCTGGCCTGGGATGAAGATCTGCTACTACAACCCGTTGGAGGCGGGGAACGAGCGCCTCGAAGACATAAGTACGGACTACACAGCTGGGACATCGTATTACTATGTTTAGGTCGGGCCTGTCCCCCTACAGGGGTATTTTCGACGAGAAGATATAAAAAACACCAACCATCCCCCAAAAAGGTTTAAACATTTTCAAAACATAGTCCCCATATTATTTTTGGATGTTTTTAATTATTATTTCTGGGGTATGTTGTATTTGTTGTCGAACATCTCCCTGTAGGGGGACACGCCCGACTTAATACTATGTGGCACGTGCAGGTGGGCAGGACCAGATACCGTACAGCGTACATACCTACCCTCACACGTTGTACTACAGTTTGGGGCCCGAAGAGGAAACTGGGTCAACAAGAGTTGCGGGACAGCCATACTACTCAGTCACAGGATAGACGAATGAGCCATCAGGGAAATATGCACCCCACCAGCATACCTCCACGGACGGGTTTCAGGAGTCCGCATTGCTACCAGGGGTTTGCACTATACTACGTACCTGCGCACGTCCCATACTACGCAGCACTGCAGACAGCATCACAGGGTGTCTGGAACAACGCACCGACAAGCTAGGGTGTCGCACTGCAGTGGTATTGGGAGGAGACGTGAAACGTGACCTAGGGTGCCAGCGCGACTACGACGGTACAACCATATGCAGCAGAGGTCCCATCATAGGTAGGCAGCAGCCCAAGATAGAGAACGCCAACGGCACCAGCTACAGAAACCTTTGCCAGACAAACGACCTCAGTGTAGTCACCACTCACTGCAATGTAGGTCCAACCTGCTATGAACATTCGGGACAAAGCCATCCCGACTGGTGCACTAGGGCTTGTAAAACAATGCGCGGCACTCCACTTATCAGGCAAGCGGTTCCAGGTGATAAAGCGCGAGGACACAGATACCACTTACCCACAGGCAGTACGCTACCAGCTTCGACCGCCACCTCCTTCTTCCCCACTCGGCCCCGTATACAACAAGGTCTGTGCAGAGAAGGACTCATGCAGTGCCTCCGCACAGGACACAACCACCCTGGACCAGAAGGTAGAGGCAGTGGGGGGGGGGGGAAGTGAGAGGGGGCGCTTGCGGAACCAACTCCAGATACTACTTGGGGCCTACTCGGGGGGTGCAGTGCTTACCACTTTGCTGAAGAACCAGGGACAAGACGAGGTGGACGAGCTAACGAAGAAAGCAACAGCAACTCGGCTCCAGCTACGACGTCGAAAAGGAGCCCACGACAACGACTCACCGACGAAGCCACGGCCGAATAATACGACGAAGTAGAAGCCGAGCTCCAAGAAATCAGCGCAGCACTCGAGCGGACCGGGCGACAGGTGGAGGAGGAGGAGAAGAGGGCCAAGCTAGTAGAACGTATCTGGGAGGCCCACGAGCGCAGGAATCTTGCTGACATGCACCGGCTCAGAATACGATGCCGGCGAAGCGGCAGAGGCCCGAAGACACGCCCCCACCTTGCCCCCAACACAAGCTGGCCTAACGAATACTAGCTGCAAGACCTGGGACGACCAGCGCGCGAGGGAGGACTCGGGGCACAGCCGATCGGCCGAGCCGAAACACGAGCAGAGCACGCACACCACGTTTCGGACACCATCGAACGACTACCGGCTGGCACCGAAATACGGGGGCATGTCGAAGACGACAATCAGGCGATGTTGCGATACTGTCAGCGAGCGTGCAACAGAAGAGCCTGGCCAGAATGGGGGAGACCTACAGAAATGACCTGTTTACTCCTCGACCCCTCCCTCCACCTTATGACCCCCGCCGACGAATCCATCCAGCTCGAGCTCCGCAGGATAGCAGCAGCAGAAAGGAGAGGAGACGAGGAGGACCTGGAGCACTACACTACTCTGGGTAAGTTCAAGAAAGGGAGAGAGCTACTACAGAAACTCGGGTTCATTATGGGTACAGCATGCGGCAAGGCAGACGGGCCAGTGGACGATGACATCTATGCAGGGATGTGGGTGCAGCGGTCATGCGGCGTGGGCAGAGGGAACTGCGCGAGACGAGGGACGCCGAGGATGAACGAGCTCCAGCACAAGTACAACCACTACTTCGACCAGTTCATACTGCAGTTTCGCAGCTGCCAGGTTGCGCCGTTAGATTGGCATCGCTCACAAGCCTTCCCAGGATTGAAACACACAGCTCCAAAGACGACGTTCTGGGCAAGCGGATACTTCGCGCCTGCGGCTCATTCGGAATGGCATGGCTCGCAGGGGTGCAACAACGAGGCCCCCCCGACCGACCACCCACCATGGATACAGAGAGGCCTACCGTACAGGTGCAGGGCAAACTCTACCCTCTGCGTCCAAGCTGCCCAGTGGAGGGCGGCGCAAGGAGGGGCCAGCACCGTCGCCGCCAACTACGACGGTGCCAATGCATTTGCAGCCACAAACTGCGCACGACTAAAAGCGGTAGCGTTTAACCATGTATACGAAAGCGACCACCGTTGCGCACTGACTGCCATTGGTCACTCCACCATGACACTCGGGGCAGCAGGTTGCCCAGTAGAAGCTGAAAGCGCAACTGGAGCACGAATGGGTTTTACTTCCGCCCGCGATAATTTAACGACGCGTGCGACATTTACGTCAGCAAATGGGGGTCGCAGGACCCAAGCCAGATTATGCATGACACATGCGACCCATTGGGGGGCAACACACACGGCGTAGGCCTACACACACTCATGGGCGACATCCTTCACGTGCAAACAATCCCAGAAATGGCCACGACAAGACATAGAGACACACATCATGAGACAAGCCACCTATTATGCTCAGTGGGCATGGGTAACTGCGGTACCGCCAGGGCCTAACGACGCAGCTCCACATTACGAGGGTTCGCCCTCAGAGAAATGAGGGTGCTGGGGCCGTACCTACCAGCGGGCCAGGGCATCGCGGGCGAAATCGCCAGACGCATTCGTGCGAGAAGACTGGCCTGGCGACAATGCGGTGCCTTCTGGACATCCGATACGCCACGTCAGATCAAACGACTCATGTGCGTGGCCTTCGTCAGAGGCGCGGTCCTCATTGGACTGACGGCAATCGTTACAGCCGCAGCTTGCACCAATGCGTTATATAGTGCGTTGGGCAAATACTTACGTACTTTACCAGGACGGGCTATGTCTTGGGAAAAGGAGGGCGTCACCATGCGCTGCAACAGCCTACGGCACGTATTCAGGTACTGGAGGATGGAACGTTCAAGTATCGCTGACGGTGCGACGACTGCGGTGGTGCCAGGCTTGTTCCTGCTACCCCGGGGAGCACGGCGCGGTTTTCGCTGCAGTGTTTGGCTCTTCCCGACTAGACGTATCACGGGGGGCCGGGGGGCTTGCGGGTGCAAATTGGATCGGACCACATTCTACAGTGTTCCCAACAATTTGCAGCAGGCATGCAGTGAAACTTCGGTTGGGACGGGGGGGATGGGCTGATGCACGCAACGGGGTTCTGATCTGGCCATATTCGAGACATGGGGGTACATGACAAACACAATGGTTACATGCAGACCCCATAGTACTGTGCAGCAGCGAAAGAAACTGGGATGTACTCGCGAGGGGTGAGGAGGAGGGGGTTAATGGAGGAGAGGAGGAGGATGACTTACTACGACCTTACTGGTGTAACCACGTTACGGTGGACACTGATGGAGTGGAAACAATATGTGGACAGCGGTGCCAGACCTACGCGGTCTTTGCAGGGCACCGACGGGACATTCGCAGCATTCGAGCAGTCGTTGCAGCAGTAATAGTTGACACCCAGTGTCCACGGTGTAAGAGTGCACTTGCATACAGAAGAACAACGATCGGCCATGCCGCGAGATCGGTCCACAGACGCGGGCTATGCCGCCAGGACAGGTCCAAGTGCAATAACCCAGGACACCAACGTGTCGGTTCTGTGCCCATCAGGCTCAGACGCTAGAAGAGTATCAGGCGCGCATGCGAGAGCACCGCGCGGGCCCAGACCAGATCAGAGCGGCTAAAGGCGGAGATGCGCGCAGCTTGAAACGCCGAGGTCGAGGCGGTGGAGCGGCAAGTCAAGCGCCCGCTGCCGACGGAACCAGGAGCTGCGACCGCAGAAGCAGGCCGACCTCGGCGAGGGCAGCGGCAGCCAGGCGCCCCGACCAAGAGCCCGAGGAGGAGGGCGGGGTCGCGGACCCCCAGGGGGGGGTGGCGGCCCGGGTGGGGGGGAGGAGAGGGAGTGCAAGCAGACCTACGAGGCAGCGTGCACTGCAGCGGCTGGCCCTCCAGAACTCAGCCGGGGTCTGCAACCTTTCCCACGTCGCAGGCGAGTTCTGGCTCGCCCTCCTCGTGGAAGAGTGGATCCAGTCCCCTATGGGGGCGCGCCGCGAGTGCGGTGGGGGGGCGGGGGCCGAGGGCAAGGGCCACTGGCGCGGACCTCCTAGCGGCCGCGTCGCGGCGGCCTCCGCGGAGGCGATCGCGGGGGCGCTCATGGCCGAGGCGCGGGGCGACGAGCGGCCGATGCAGTGCGCGGCCAAGACCCTCGCGGAGTTCATGGAGCAGCTGGGCCAGCCGGGGGGACCAACGTTCGACGCGGAAGTCTCCCTGCAGTGCAAGATCCAGGAGGCGTGCGAGCCGACGGAGGAGGGGGTGGAGACGGGGCAGCGCGGCGCCGAGCCGAGGCCACGTGCGAGATCAATGCGTCGCTGTGTTTTCAGGGTGGCGCTGTGCGAGCTGAACCTGGACCGGGCCCAGCGCGAGAGGATCCGTCGCTTCAATGGGGGTCGTGTTCAAGCAGGCCTCGGGGCCGGCGCTGGCGTACTATGGCGCCAAGAAGAGCCGCTCAGGAGGCCCGACGCCGGGCTTGGAGAGGGTCGTCGAGGCCCAGCTCAGCGGGCGCCGCGGACAGAAAGCCAGCCACTAGAGCCACTAGAGAAGCCCAGCAGCCCTCGGCCGACCGCAGTTGCGGGCCACGCGAGCGCCCCTGCAGGACCCGCGGGGCCAAGGCCATCCAGCGACTGGTCGCCTTCAGCCCCGCCGCGCCCCAGAGCGGAACAACTCGCGATGCAGATCGACATCGGCCTCGAACGATATGCAACCTTATGGGGAAATTTTCGATTTGAGGGCCACATGGCTACCTACTAGTGGGAACAACATCCGAGGGAATATTATCAGGCCATGGGGCAACAATGAGGAAAGGTTGGCCAGCGCGATCTGCCATCCTACACTCGCGTTTCTGCGGTCTAATCCCCCGCCCACCACTACTTTCTTCATCGCTATCGGCGCGCTGGCCTCAGGTGCAGGACTAGGCAGACAGCTACTGGAATCAGGGCCTCGCGGCTACAGGATATGTGCGAGTGCGCGTGCGAATGTGGACCTACCTGCGCATGGAATCCACCGACGAGAAGACTGCGGACCAACATCGGTGCCCACCTACCCCACACACCATAAGGGGGCAACCAAGGGCCTCCACAGGGATCGCCCACTACGGGGCCTCAGGAGTCAGGGAGTCAGGGGGGAAGCTGAGCCGGGACCGACGCAGGACATTGAGCGCCAGGAGCTGGACGGACCAGGACGCCTAAGCCTTTGCCAGACCCTTCGCTTTCTCCCACCACATCGACACCATTACGGACCTTGGCCCGCTCTCTCCCACTTGATGTGTTCCCTCAGCTCAGGAAACAACCGGGCTGGGCCAGGGGTGCAAGGCGACGGCTCCGACTCCAGCGCTGCCTAGGTCCGTCTCCTACCGCAGCCTTTCGGCTCGATCCGAGCCTTTCAGCATCCTCCCGCGCGCGGGACCTATTGGGGCCGCCGACGCCAGCGCCCAGTCGGCGCGGCTCAGCGGCGCAGCCTGGCCGCTTGGGCGGTAGCGGCCGCTGCGGCCCAGCCGACAACGCCGGCGTAAGAGGCGGCGACGACGATGGGCAGCTGGCGATCCAGAAGTCTGCTGAGCGCGGCGGCGGCCCAGGCGACCACGTCTTCGGAGCCTTGCAGTGCCCCCTGGGGGCCTGCGGCGAGACGCTGCAGAGCGCCGGCGAGAAGTGCGACGACACCATCCAGCACAACCAGATGGCGCTCTACGGCTTCTACAAGCAGCAGGAGCGCATCACCGTGAGCTTGACGAGGGTCGCCGCCAGCAAGAGCCCGAACCAGTATGAGGAGATTGGGCGCACTCATGGGACGGAGCTCTTGAAGCAGCAGCTCGGCGAAAACGGCAGAGCCATTGAGCACTCCCGCGGCGTCGAGAGCATTTTCTGCAGCCGGAGCAGACCCCGCAAGGGCCCCCACCCGTGGGAGCCAGACTACCCGGTACACGAGTCTCCAGATCGGCTTGAAGGCCACGGCGCCAAGTGGATGGAAAATGATTGCGGCTGGGACTACGACGAGGTGGCGGCGGTGGATCAGAGCTGTCTCGGCAGCCTGCAGCAGCCGCGCAACAGTGGTACGCAGCAGCGCCCGAAGTGCACGAACCCCAGCAAGTCCATCCAGGGGTGGACACCTCACGTGAAAGTGCTGCCGACGCAGCTGCAGCTCCAGCCAGCCCTCGCCCCCGCCAGGCATTCCAGCGGAGCCTGGTGCGCCGAGCCCGAGCGGGGGCCTTCGCCTCCGCGACCCATCGGTCGCAGAGAAGGCGGGGTGGGGGCCGGGCTGCACGTCGTGAGCAGTGATTCCAGCCAGCAGCCGGCCCTTATTCTAGCGGGGCCCGACCTGCCAGCGTCAGAAGCTTTCCCGTCCGGCATTCTCTTGCCACTGAGGCCAACTAGTGACGGAGAGTAGCCAACTCGCGGCAGGCGGCCTCCCATTCAGTTCAGCAGCAGCAGGCCATCGTTTTCTCTCTTTCGCGTCGTGCCGACAGCAGTGAGAGAGGTGGTCGGAGAGGTGTGGGGCGTGGGGGGGGGAGGGGTGTGGGGCGGGGGGGGGGGGTAAGGCTCTCAGCGGCCTTGGGCGCGTCCCAGTCGGGGAACACCGAGGGCCGCCTGCGTCCGCCATCCAGCCGCCCAGGGCAGGGTCTCCCTGCTAGGGCGCAGCTGCGAAGGCAGCGCCCGCAAGGCAGCCCCCGACAGGCAGTCGAGGGGGCCTGCATCCGAATGTTCACCCAGGGGCCGCCCTGCCTTTTTTTTCTAGGCGTCGTGACTTAGACCCCCAACGGCCTCATCCTTGTCCTCCTCCTCCTCCACTTCCTCCTCCTCCACTTCCTCCTCCTCCACTCCTCCTCCACTTCCTCCTCCTCCTCCTCCTCCTCCTCCTCCTCCTCCTCCTCCACTTCCTCCTCCTCCTCTTCCTCCTCCTCCTCCTCCTCCTCCTCCTCCTCCTCCTCCTCCTGTCCCCCGAGGAGCGGGGGCCGCAGAGCGCGGGCGCCGGCAGGCCCGCCGGCCAGGGGCGGCAGGCGCGCGCCCCTCGGAAGGCGAGGAAGGTCGGGGGCGGCGCTGCGGACGGCACCTTTTGGTGGGCGGCGTGCCGCTCCGCCTGACGAGCGAGCCGCGCGCACCCATGGCCATCGGGTTAAGTCGGGCACGTCCCTCTACAGGAGAAATGTTCAGAAACAGTAAGCAAATCATGCGGGGACGATTGTTCGGTCTTTCTGTTCTTATGTTTTGAGTATCTTCTGACACGGTTTTGTTTTTCGCTCTCAATCGGCCTGTAGGGGGACATGCCCGACCTAATTCTAGGCCTTTGGATGGGGTCGGAGTAGATGGGGTCGGGGGTATCGCGCCGGCGTCGCCGATGTATCGCTGATGCGTTGGCGATGCGTCGGTGATGCGGTTCGATCTGGGGCCCAGTTTTCACCGCGTCGGCGTCGCCGATGCACCGCCGACGTCGCCGATGCGGCGCGATCCTCCGACCCCATGCGCGCGGACCCCACCGAGGAGGCCTCTGGTGTCGCTCAGCCTGACGAGCGAACGGCATAATCACACCAATAGGAGGTCGGAGGGAGGGGGACTGGCTATGGGTATGGGTGCGGGTTGTCGGGCCTTGGGGGGAGTGCTTCCGTTTGAGCGGGGGCCCCCATCCGACAGCACGCACCCATAGCTCCCTCCGTCCCACCTACGGGTATGGGTGCGTGTTGTTCGTTCGTCACCGCTGGTTCTGGCCCACCACTCTTCGGAGCGAGCTTTCCCGAGCGTCCACTTCCCGATCTTTCCCGAGCTTCCCGCCCCGCGGAGCAGAGCGGCGCGACACGCCATCCGCTCGCAAGGCATGGCGTGCCACCGGGGCCGCCGCGGCGACACGCTTAGTGAAAGTTCCTGGCCGTAGGTTTGGACGCCCGAAATGGGCACAGAAAGAATGGGGACTATGCCCAACAGCAGTTCCTGTTCATTTTGAAGAAGATCCGCTGTCCACGCCGCCGCGGCCTGTGTCCATTCGAGACAGAAGGCCGCCTGTCCAACAGCGGCCGCTGTTGGTTTGGGACAACATTTGTTGTTGGGCATTGTACCCATTCTTTCTGTACCCATTTCGGGCGTCCAAAGTAGGCTCGGGGGGGGACGGGTCGAACCCCAATCGCCCATTGATCGCCGACAGCCCCGCCCCGCGCAGGACCGCGCAGATCCGCTGCTCGGGGGCCCCTGGCCGACCTACCGGCGACGTACCGCCGTTGGCAAGTCGAGGCTTCCCCCCCTGAGCTGTTTCCCCCCCGTGACGTTGTCCCAAGGGGTCCCTCGGTCACCCCCAGGGGCGAGGGGCGAGGACACAGTCGCGCTTCGCGCGTCGCGGTCTGGACCAGAGCAGCTGCCCTTTACCATGGGGGGCGGCGCGAGGGCGCGAGGGCGCGAGGACAACCGCACGTCGCGCATTGCGGGGCGCGATGCGCGAAGTTAGGTGACCTGCGGTCTTGTCGAAGAGCTAACAACGGCCACGCGCAGAGGGGGCTGGGGGGAGGGGGCAAGGCTTCTCAGAAGAAGGCGCGGGCGTTTCTCTATGGATGCAAGGCCGGCGCCTTCAGAGAAGCAGCCTCCTTCCAAGAAGCCTTCCCCCCTCCCCCTGGCCCCCCCCTCGGCGCGCTGCCAAAAACAACGGCCTACGCAAACTTCTGGAGCTCCGCGCGCGTTTCTCGGCTCGGCGCCCGGCGCCCCTCAGGCGGCGCCTCCGGCGCCGCCCCCCGGCGCGCTCCGCGCGGCGGGTAAGGGAGCCCAGGTCCGATCCAAGGGAAATCCGCGCGGGCCTCTGACAGTTTGTGTCTTTGATGCCTTGTGCTGTAAGTCGGGCGCGACCCGCTACAGGAGGAATATGCCAGAATACTCAAAAACTAGTATGGGTAAGATTCTTCGATGAGTGTTTGACTATTTTGATTTTTTCGGTTTTTTCGTTGAACAAGTTTTCGGCCCAAATCCGCCTGTAGGGGGACATGCCCGACCTACTTGTTGTTCCTCCATCCTGCGTCGAGCGTGTCCTGAGTTTTTGTTGTTCGCCCTTTTCGGGCTCCAGGGGCATGTCCAGGGGCTCCGGGACCGTCAACGTCCGGCTCACGATGAGGAGCTTTTCCCGCGCGGAAGGCCCCGAGGCTCGTCACAAGGGAAAGGGGTCCTGACATCGACTTGGTGGTGAGTGCGATGGTGGTTGCTGCCGTCTGCTTTCGCAGAATAGAGGCTACCCAGGCAGGCCAAACGACCATTTTGTAATCTACACGGTGGTTGGCGTTTATGCAGGCGGTCCACGCAAGACCCCCATCCCGCTAATGCTGGTTCGGGACTTCGGTGGTTCGGGACTTCGGTTTCAGATTTTAATGATTCAGGCTGTTCCTGCACACTGGCGCAACCGCCAACGCCCCATCCACTATCTCGGATTTTCGAACTGAGGGAAGCGGGTCCTGAGGGTTTTCGCCGTTTTCGTGCTCCCGGGGCCCGTCCACGGCCCCGGCGGCGTCAAACACCCACTCGGGTGGAAGAGCTGGTCCTGCGCGAAGGCCCGGGGGCCTCGGGAGCAGCCTCCGGGGGGGGCTCCTGAGGCTCGGGGGGAACGCATCCGCCCCCACACCGCCCATGCATCGTCGGTGGGGGCCCGATGGCCCGCCCCGCCTGGCTTCGCCGTCGGGGGCCCCTCGCCGATCCCTCGGCGACGCCTCGCAGATTCCGAACTCGATGTTCCCCCTGAGCCCGTCGTCCCCCAGCGTTGCCTCCCTTGGTCTTCGGGCCATAACTCGGCTCTCCCTCGGCCAGTCCGGACGACCCTGGCCCCCCCTGAAGGCTTTCGGGGAGGTGCAGCTGCCGGAAGGCATCCCGAGGCTGGAACACCGCTGAGAGCTGGCCCCTGACCTCCGCTCCGCCGGGTCGGGGAGCCGGTCCGCCCTGAGTCGGTTCCCCCCTAACGACTACCGAACTGATTTACTCCAGACTTGATTCTTCCGTCGAATCTGCGAACAATGCGTAGAATGCTCCGTAGAATGCTCCACAGATCTACTGAACATTCTGCGCATTCCTCGTATACGTTCGACGGAAAAAGCAAGTTTGGGGTAACATCAATTCTGCAGTCGATGCCCTGATCGAAGCGTTGCCCCTGATCGGGTTGGTCTTCGGGTCATAAAGCTCGAGTCCGCGACCGCCGTGCGGCACGATAGCCGGGCGCCCGCAGAAAACGCTCTCGGCGAGGCGCAGCTGCTGGAGAGCATCCCGAGGCGGAAAAAACCAGAGGGAACCAACGGAAACGCCCGAACATCTCGAAGCCCGAACACCTCGAACCCCCCTCGCAGGCGTGGCCCACCGCCATGGGCGCCACCTTCTCGACCGGCTCCAGGGCCAGCCACAAGGGCGGGCTGTCAACGAGGCGGGGTTCGTTGCTGGCGGTGCGCTCGGCGGTCGCGCTCGCGACCGGCAGCAGGGGCGACGGCGACGACGACGCCTCCAGCTCCAAGAGTGACGTGGCCGCGCGGATGACTGGCGGGCACGGCAATGACATACTGCCGGTCAAGATCACCACCGACCCGGCGGAGCTGAGGTCAGGGGCCAGTTCTCAGCGGTTTTCCATCCTCGGGATGCCTTCCAGCAGCTGCGCCTCGCCGAGAGCGTGCCGGGGGCGCCAGGAACGTCGAGAACGGCCGCCAGAGAGTCGACTTACAACCCGAGCACGAAGGGGCAACGTTGGGGGAGGATAGTCTCAGAGGGTGATGCATCGACCGCCCAGGACAATGCGGATGTGCTATCAGGGGCCCATCGCCGACCAATCGGCGATCCATCATTCTCTCCGACTGCAGGTCGATGTTCCCCCTCCTTTGCCAGTCCCCCCCCCCTGTCGTTGCCTCCTCATGAGGGCCGCGGAGCTGGCGTACGTCACCTCCGTCCACCAGCTGGTCGGAGCCGCGGGGAATCCCGCGCAGTCCCAGTGGGATTCGCTCAAGTGGAGGGCGCTGAAGAGAGACTCTCCGAGGCGCTGCATCACGTCGGGGCGCTACGCACCGAGGTGAGGTCGCGAGGCGTCCGCCTCCCTCTCAGGGAGGGCGGGTCGGAAGGCCTGTGCAGGCGCTCTCTCTCTCTCTCTCTGTTGCCTTGCATGGCCCTCCCGTGCACCTGCAGGCTCCATGCGCCTCATGCATGCGAGGGTCGTCCCTCGCACGGGTGCCAATGTGAGCAGGAGGTGTTGGCGGTCGAGGCGAGGTCTGCGGTGGACAACCTGGTCCCGCGCGACAGCGCTGCGCTGGCCTCTTTGTGGCGAGCTCGCCGACCGTGCCTGTCTGTAGCTGCATCTCGTCCATCGGCCGCCAGCCGAATCTGGCAGGCGGAAAAGTGTTGTCTCCTGAGGAGGGTGATCTGGGGAGGAAGTGGACGGCTGGGGAGAGAGGAGAGAACCGCCATGCAGCACAAGCGCACATGGGCGCAAGGGCGTTGCGTGGCCCCCTCGGGCGCCGAAAAGGTGAGAAGGCAAACATTACTGGACCACAATCGATCGTCCACTGTTTTTTTTGGTTGTTGTTGTTGTTGTTGTTGTTGTTGTTGTTGTTGTTGTTGCTGTTGTTTTTTTGGGTGTATCTTGCGGAGGCTCCGGGGCCACCTCAGAGCCACCTTGGGGTCTCTTGGGTCCACGGTTGATCGGGGCCAACCTGTTCCATCCTTGAGGATATCTTGGGTTGCAGTCAGGACGCCGACACAAGGACCACATTGGGCTCATGAGGGGTTCCGGTTGCGGGCCGTTCCTCAGATCTAGGTCCGGGGCATGTTCGTGGCGCCGCGGCTTTCCGTGGCCATGATCGGCGGCGAGCGAGGGGGGGGAAGCGAGAAGGAGAAGGCCTTCTCAGAAGGCTCGGAAGTCCCCCATGCCTTCTGAGAAGTTTTCCGAGCCTTCCCCGAAGATACGGAAACCTTCTCAGAAGGCGCGAGGGCTTCTGAGAAGTACCGCCGCCTTTGAGAAGGCCTTCTCCTTCCCACTTCCCCCCCTCGCTCGCCGCCGAGATTCAGCGCTCCTTCTGGCGGCACGACGGCTGCATCGGGGGCCACATTTGTGTGCATCTCGGGCCAACGCGTGCCCTCCGACGTAACGCAGCTCGGGGGTCCAGGCCCCCAGGCAGAGGGCCCGGCGCTGCGCGAGCCCCTCCCCAGTGGAGCTGTTCGGTCTGTTCGCCTCCTCTTCCTCCTCCTCCTCCTCCTCCTCCTCCTCCTCCTCCTCCCCCTCCTCCTCCCCCTTCTCCTCTTTCTCCTCCTTCTCCCCTTCTCCTCCTCCTCTCCTCCCCTTCTCCTCCTCCTCCTCTCCTCCTCCTCCCTCCTCCTCCTCCTCCTCTCCTCCTCCTTTTTTTCCTCCTCCTCCTCCTCCCCTCCTCCTCCTCCTCCCCCTTCTCCTCCTTCTCCCCCTCCTCATTCTCCTCGTCCTCCTCCTCGTCCTCCTCCTCCTCCTCCTCCTCCTCCTCCTCCTCCTCCTCCTCCTCCTCCGGTGGAGCTGTCCCCTCCCCCTGCTCCCCCCCGCCCTGCCCGTGCTTTTTGCGTCGCGGCGCGGCAGGGGCAGTCCGCTCGCGCGCTCCAAGCTGCCAAGGGAGCTCGGCAAGCTCGTGGGCCGGCTGCCAGAGACGGACCGGGCAGAAGACAGGGCGATTGGGGATCGATGCATCCCCCCTATGCCGTATCGCCCCCTATCGTTGCCCCTGAAGTTTTTGGCCTGGCGCCGAACATCCCCGGCGACGCCTCCGGTGGCCGCCCCTGGCGCACCTCGGAGGCGCCAAGGAGGGGCGCCCGGCGCCGACGTCAAGCGATCCGCGCCGACCCGCCGCCGACCTCCGAGAAGGAACGTTTGTGCAGCGTGACCCTCTGGTGGCACGGCCGCAGAAGACAGGATGACGAGGGCACTCGCCACGGCAAGGCTTCCAGGACGAGCGCGCCGGAGCGGCCGGCCGAGGTTGAAGAGTGACCGACATCCGACGCCGTGTTTTTGTGTGCGCCGTGGCTCCTCAGTGGTGATGGGCATCTGGGGGCCGAGGCATCCCCGCGAGTGCAGTTGCTTACAGTCGGGTTCCATTAGTAGGTCGGCCCTGCGAAGTCAAGGGTGCTCTTGTGTCCTGTGCATCGCGCGTCGTGTCCTCTGCGGCCGAAGGGCAGGGTACCCTTGCGTCCTGTGGTTCTGGAGGCCATGTTGCCGTCGGAAGAGTCTTGTGTCCTGTCGCGCGCCCTGTGCGCAATAACCCGCCTGTACCCGCAGATATCAGCTGGCATTCGGCCCATTCCGCCACCGTGCCTGGGTCGTGTGTGATAGGCCTCTAGGATGTTCGCCGGGATGTCGCTGGCGGCCTCTCGGGGGCCTCTGGGGAGCCGTTTTGATGCCTCTTGGGCCTTTTTGGGGCCTCTTGGGGCGTCTTGGGGCCTCTTGGGGGTCTCTTCGGCCTCGTGAGGGCCTCTTGTGGCCTCCTTGACTCTCTTGGGCAGTCTTGGGCGCCACGTCTTGGGATCTTGGGGCCCTCTTGGGGCCCTCTTGGGGCCCCTTCTGCGGGCCTCTTGGGGCGGCTTTGAGGGCCTCTTGGACCGTCCTGGAGCGTCGGGAGCTCGAGAAGTCGAGTAACCCCCAAACATTGAAACACCTAAGGGACATCAACGACTCCTCTCGCTTCGCGGGGTGCACGTCCGGAGCACGTACAGTCCAGTCGTTATTGTGCCTCGTGGCAGCCTTGGGGGCCTCGTGGGAGCCTCTTAGGGTCCTCTTGGGGCCTCTTTGGGGCTTCTTTGGGGCCTCTTGGGGCTTCCCGCGGACGTTTTGGGCCGTCGTGAGGCGCTCTTACGCCGTCTGGCCCCTTCGGAGGCCATCTTGGAGGCCCCTCGCGGCCGCCTTGGGGCTCTGTTGGGGTCCTCGTTGGCCGTCTTGGGGGCCTCTTGGACCGTCTTGGGGGCCTCTTTTGGCCGTCTCGGGGGTCGTCTTGGGGCCTTCTTGGACGCTGCTTGGGCCGTCATGGCCCTCTGAGAGCCGAAAAAGGCGAGAACGCCGAAATCCTACAAAAACAAATTGAAAATTTATGATGTTGGCTTCTGGAGGCGCTCGTTGGGGTCCTCTTGGGGCCATCTTGGGCCGTCTTTGGGGCCTCATGGGCCGTCTTGGGGCCATCTTGGGCCGTCTTGGGGCCGTCTTGGGCCGTCTTGGGGCCGTCGAGGGCCGTCTTGGGGCGTCTTGGAGTCCCAAGAGGCCCAAGAGGCAGAATTCGTTGATTTTCCATACGTTTTCGTAGGGTTTGAGGCCCGGAATGGGGGGGGTCCAGATTTGGTCGACGGTGTGGCGCGGCTGCAGGGGGGGGGTAGGGGGGGAGGTTACCAAGGATACGTTGCATTAAGGCGTTCGCCGAAAAACGCTGCCACTCAGGCCTCGTGGCAGCCCCTTGGGGGCTTCTTGGAAGCCTCTTGGAAGCCTCTGAGGAGCTTCTTGAGTTTCTTTTGGGCCTCTTCGGGGCCTCTTGGGGTCACTTGGGGACGTCTTGGGCCGTTGTGGGGCGCTCTTGCACCGTCTGGCCTCCTCGGAGGCCATCTCGGAGGCCTCTCTTGGGTGCTCCTTTTGGCCGTCTCGGGGCCCTCTCAGGCTGCTCTGGGGCCCCCTTGGGGTCCTCTTGGGCCGCTTTGGGGCCTTCTTGGAGGCTGCTTGGGCCGTCATGGGCTTGTCAGAGCCGAAAAAGGCGAGAACGCTAAAATCGTTCAAAACCTATTTGAAAATCAATATTTTTGGCCTCTGGAGGCGCTCTTGTGGGCGTTCTTGGGGCCCTCTTGGGCCGTCTTGGGGGCTTCTTGGGCCATCTTGGGGCCATCTTGGGCCGTCTTGGGGCCGTCTTGGCCCGTCTTGGGGCCATCTTGAGCCGTCTTGACGTCGGCGTAGACCCCCAAGATGCCCAAGGGGCCCAAATAATCGGTTTCCCGGAGGTTTATGTAGGTGTTGAAGCCCAGGAGGGGTCCACCATCTTTGGATCGGTGGATGTGGCGTGGCCTGAAGCGGGGGGTTAGGGGGAGACATAATAATGCAATACAATGCAATACCAAGGAATTATGTAATCATTGGATACATAGGATACGTTGCATTAGGGCTTCCGCTCCGCTGCGCGACCTGCCTCCGGCAACACGTCACTTCCGGACGTGGATTCTCTATAGGCTTACGCCACATCCGCCGACCCCTCTCGTCTGGACGGGCCTCTTCGAGACAGTTTCGAAGGGTCTTGGGGGCCATTTTGGGGCTTCTTTTGGGCCTCTTGGGGGCTCCCTTGGGGCCTCTTGGGTGCCTCATGGGGGCCTCTTGGAGCCGCTTGGAGCCTCTTGGGTCCTCCGGAGAGCTTCGTTGGACGAAGCGGTGCTGTCGTGCAGCTCAAAAGCTAGCCCAGGGAGCCCAGACCGCCCCGGGTGAGTTCAGTCGGGGGCCTCCCCGGGCCGGGGGGGGGGGGGGTCAAAATCCCGGTTTGGGGTCCCTGGGGGGGATGATGGGGGGGAACAATCTCACACCTAGAGACCCACAAGGTGTCGACGGATTTTTGGCTTCTCGGGGCCCTCTTGGGAAGGTTCTTGGGGCTCTCTTAGGGCGTCTCGAAACCTCTCTGGCCGTCTTGGGGCCATCTTGGGCGTCTTGGGCCGATCGTGCAATTCGGGGCTTCTTGGACCGTCTGGGCGGCCTCTTGGGGCCCGCTTGGCTCGTCTTCGGGCGTTCTTGTGCCCGAAGAAGTCACGCGACAAGCCGCGACGCACGCGAGAAGCCCTGGAAGATTTGAGAAATTGGAGTCGGGGCCGTCGAAAGAACCTTCAGGATTGAAAAATGAGGCTTAAGGGATTAGGCAACGGACTTGGGGACATCCGACATCACGCCACGGGGGCACGATGGCAGCTCCAGCGTCGTGGTTTTTGTCGCGCCATGGGCCCCTATAGGTCTATACCCCTTCCCAGGGACCTGTTCTTCATCCCGAGTGGTTTTTGACGACCCTGGGACCAGGCAAGGGCCCTTGGAGGCCGAACGCTGCCAGAGCCAGGATGCCCCCTCCTTCCTGCTCCAGGATGCCCCCTCCTTCCTGCTCCATGGTCCTCTGAGGAGAGGGTAGGAGTTGGTGATGATGATGCTGCTGCTGCTAATGATGGTGATCCTGGTGGTGGTGGTGGTGATTCTGTTGGTGATGCTGTTGCTGGCGATAAGGATACTGGTGATGATGATGATGATGATGATGATGATGATGATGATGATGATGATGATGATGATGCCAATGATGTTGGTGGTGGTGATGATGATGACGGTGATGCTGCTGATGATGATGATGCGGATGGTGATGATAATGCTTATGCACATGATGCTGATGTTGATGTTTATCATGTTGATGATGGTGGTGCTGCTGCTTGGGATGATAACGATGCTGGTGCGATGAGGATAACGACGAGGACGATGCTGTTGGTGATGGTGATGGTGATGCTGCTGCTGATGGTGATATACATGATGATGCTGATGATGCTGCTGCTGATGGTGATGCTGATGATTATGTTGATGATGGCGTTGATGTTAATTATGATGCTGACGCTGATGTTGATGTTGATGATGCTGATGATTACGACGACGACGAGCACGAAAACGATGCCGATGACGACGACGATGACGATGATGATGATGCTGATGATCATGCTGTTTCTGCTTATGATGATGCTGACGATGATGATAACGATGATGATGATCATGGTGATGCTGCTGATGATGACGCTGACGATGCTGATGCTGCTTACGAGGATGACGATGCTCTTGAGGGTGATGATGATGCTGCTGATGATGATGACGATTATGATGATGCTGCTGATGATGATGCTGATGATGCTGCTGACGATGATGTTGGTGGTCGTCGTAATCATGATGATGCTGATGCTGCCGATGATCATGCTTATGATGATACGGAAGCTGAGGCTGATGATGTTGATGATGCTGAGGAGGAGGAGGAGGAGCAGGGAGAGGATGAGGATGAAGATGATACTGCTTATCCTGGTGATTATTACTATGATGGTGATGGTGGTAATGATGATTAGGATGCTGATGATGATGCTGATGATGATGATGACGATGATGATGACGATGATGCTGACGATGCTTATGATGCTGATGTCGATGATGCTGATGATGATGCTGATGATGTTGATGCTGATGATGATGATGCTGATGATGGTAATGCTGATGACGATGATGCTGATGATGCTAATTCTGATGATGGTACTGATGATGATGACGACGATGATGATGATGATGTTGATTTTGATGATGATGAATCTGATGATGATGATGATGATGATGATGATGATGATGATGATGATGGCGGTGGCTGATTATGATGATGATGATGATGATGATGATGATGATGATGATGCTGATGCTGTTGCTGCTGATGATGTTGATGAGGATGAGGATGAGGATGAGGATTAGGATGAGGATGATGATGAGGATGAGGATGAGGATGAGGATGATGATGACGATGATGATGATGATGATGCTGATGCTGATGCTGATGATGATGATGATGATGATGATGATGATGATGATGATGATGATGATGATGATGATGATTATATCTTGTGATGGCGGTGATGATTACGATGCTGATGATGCTGATGACGATAAGGAGGAGGAGGATGAGGAGGAGAAGCGGAGGCGGAGTAGAGGACGGATAGGAGGGAGTGGGGGAGGAGGATATTCGCAGATTTCTTTGTCTCACGCAAACCCGCGTTCCCAGAGATCCTCATCGTTTGCCCGGGGTAAGGTGTTTTGTGTTTTTTGCCCCACCTCCAGTTCGGTGGTCCCGGGGCCTGGTGACGGCTCTCGGAGGCCGAGCTGGAGGGAGCACGTCCGCTTTGAGACAACGAGATCGAGATTCGGTCTCCCTTCGTCCTGCTCCATGATCCGCCTCCCTCCACGGTGGCGGGGCGAACGCGTGCCCATTCACGGTCCATCCTCGCTCTTGGAGCCTCGAACTCATACCTTCGATCCCGGGTCCTACATCTCTGGCCCTCGAGCTCAGATCCGCGGCCCTCGATCCTCGAGCGCAGACCCTCGACCCTCGCTTTCGGACCCTCGATCCGCGATCCTCGATCCTCGATCTCAGATCCTCGATCCTCGACCCGCGATCCTCGATCCCCGATCTCAGATCCTCGATCCTCGCTCTCGGACCCTCGACCCCGGATCCTCGAGGCTCGACCTCAGATCCTCGATCCTCGATCCTCGATCTCGATCCTCGATCCTCGATCTCAGATTTTCGATCCTCGCTCTCGGACCCTCGACCCCGGATCCTCGAGGCTCGACCTCGGCCCCTGCTCCCTCCGGGGGCGGAGGCCCCCAAACGGGGCGGTGGCCACGCCGTGCGGTGAGTCGGTGGGGATTCGGGGTCACCGCACGGTTTTTGGGAGGAGGAGGAGGGGGAGGAGGAGGAGGAGGGGGAGGAGGAGAAAGAGGAGGGAGGAGGAGGAGGAGGAGGAGGAGGGGGAGGAGCACCCCCCTCCCCCCCTTCAACTCCCGGTGGTGGTGGCGGAAAGCAGGCCCCGCGGGCGCCTGCGGCCCGACCCAGCGCGGCCGGCTCGCGCCGCCCTCGCGCCGCCCTCGCGCCCGTCTCTCAGGACGTCTCGGGCGACAGGGGCCTCCAGGATCCCGACACCGTGCGGGGGGATCTCGAGGTCACCGCACGTTGTGTCACCGCACCGCTTCGGGACATCACATCCCTCCATGGGGCGGAGGCCCCGAGCCCCTGGGCATTGGGGGGGCTCCGAGGCCCCGACGCCCGCGCCTCGTGCAACGCGAAGCAGTGGGGCGGCTCCATCCAGCGGCAGGCCGCCGCGGCGGCCCGCGGGAGGGCGTCGGGCGCGGGGCGGCAGGAACCTCGGCTCGGCGTGAGGAGTAGGAGGAGGAGGAGGAGGAGGAGGAGGAGGAGGAGGAGGAGGAGGAGGAGGAGGAGGGGGAGGAGGGGGAGGAGGGGGAGGAGGAGGATCGTGGAGGAGGAGGAGGAGGAGGAGGATCGTGGAGGAGGATCCCGCGCCGCCGCTTCTGGCCCACGTTGTCCACGTGGGAGTCCCCGTCCCAGGCATGATCGCGCCGTGAAAGTATCGGAGGTTGGGGGGTGAGATCGAAGTGGAACGGAGAGCCCCCCACCGGGAAATCGGTTTCGGTTTCGTGTTCGTGTCGTGCGTGCGGGCGGGGCGAAGCTGCGTGCGCGGGCGAAAGGAATTCATTTTGCTGTCGCTAGTGGTTTGCCAACACAAATGTTTCCCCCGCCCTCGCGTGTCAAGCGGTGGCCCGCATTGTCCCGTCGGTTGCCCGCCGTTGTCCTGTCTGTCGCTGGTGGTTCGCCAAAATAAAAGTTCCCCCCGCCGGCGCTTATCAAGCGGTGGCCCGCATTGTCCCGTCGGTTCCCCGCCGTTGTCCTGTCTGTCGCTAGTGGTTCGCCAACATAAATGTTTCCCCCGCCAGCGCGTGTCAAGCGGTGGCCCGCATTGTCCCGTTGGTTGCCCGCCGTTGTCCTGTCTTTCGCTAGTGGTTCGCCAACATAAATGTTTCCCCCGCTGGCGCGTGTCAAGCGGTGGCCCGCATTGTCCCGTCGGTTGCCCGCCGTTGTCCTGTCTGTCGCTGGTGGTTCGCCAACATAAATGTTTCCCCCGCCGGCGCGTGTCAAGTGGTATCCCGCATTGTCCCGTCGGTCGCCCGCCGTTGTCCTGTCTGTCGCTAGTGGTTCGCCAATATAAATGTTTCCCCCGCCGGCGCGTGTCAAGCGGTAGCCCGCATTGTCCCGTCGGTCGCCCGCCGTTGTCCTGTCGTGAGATCGATAGTGAGATCGATAGTGAGATCGATCGTGAAATTGATAGTGACACCGAAAGTGAGATCGATAGTGAGACCGAATGTGAGACCGAATGTTGGATCGATAGTGAGATCGATAGTGAGATCGATAGCGAGATCGATCGTGGAATTGATAGTGGCACCGGAAGTGAGATCGATTGTGAGATCGAATGTGAGATCGATAGTGGGATCGATAGTGAGATCGGTTGTGAGAGCGATTGTGAGATCGATAGTTAGATCGACTGTGAGATCGATAGTGAGACCGATTATGAGACGGATTGAAAGATCGAGCCCGCATTGTCCCGTCGGTGGCCCGTCGGTGTCCTGTCGTGAGATCGATAGTGAGATCGATCGTGAGATCGATAGTGAGATCGATGGTGACATCGATAATGAGATCGATAGTGAGACCGATAGTGAGATCGATTGTGACATCGATTGTGATATCGATTGAGATCAATAGTGAGACCGAATGTGAGATCGATCGTGAGATCGATAGTGAGATATATTGTGAGATCCATAGTCTGATAGTGGGATCGATAGTGACATCGATGGTGAGATCGATGGTGACATCGATTGTGAGACCGAATGTGAGACCGAATGTTGGATCGATAGTGAGATCGATACTGAGATCGATAGTGAGATCGATCGTGAAATCACCATTGTCCCGCCGGTTGCCCATCATGTTTTTTTTGCATCACGGTTGCTCATCATTGTCCCGCAGGTTGCTCATCATGGTTGCTCATCATGGCTGCTCATCATGGGACACCATCATGGTTGCTCATCATGTGACACCTTCTCTTGCTTCTCCTCCTCGTATCCTTAATTTTAAACTCTAACCTAATTCTTTAGATCTTTAGTTCGGCTCAAGGGCTCAGCCCATGCGACGCAAGTCGGTCAGCTCGTCGCCTTTTTGCTAGAACGGAGGCTCGATTGCCATTCATCGCCTCCCTCCTCCTCTCCTCCCTCCTCTGAGGATGGCGGCCACTTTCATTTGGTATCATGCGCCGGGGGGTGCCGTTCTTGGGCCACTTAGTCGTCAGAGGACAAATAAATGCCGTCATTTATTGCCCATGCCGTCCTTCCAGTCCCCCCGCCACGTCATCCACACCATCATCGGCCGTCAGCACCACATTCACCACAGTTGTCGTCATGAGCCCCCCCCCTCCCCCCCCCCCACAACCTCCTTATCACCCGCAGGGTGGTAGTATAGGTATGCAATTGTGAGTGCGCAGTTGCGAGCATCGTGTTCGGTGGAGCTCCCCATGGGGCCACGAGACGTGTGAGCGTTGTGCCGAAATGGGTGGCGGGGACGCCTGCGAACGGTGCCACTGGGACCTTGGGTGGAGTTCCCTACGGGGCCACGAAGCATGTGAAGGGTGTGCCGAAATGAATGGCGGCGGGGACGCATGCGAACTGCGCCAGTTGGACCTTCGGTGGAGCTCTCCACGGGGCTGGGCCACGAAGCGCGTGAGGGGTGTGCCGAAACGGGTGGCGGGGACGCCTGCGAACGGTGCCACTCGGCGGTGAGGACCTCCACCTCACTTCGCTGTGAAGCAGGAAGCCATGACGGACGGTTTTTTCTGTTTTTTCGGCCTCTGGGGGTCCTCGCTGGGCTCCGACGGGGTCCCAGACTTGTGGGGGCCCATGCTGCGACGCCAATCGCGGCGTCCGATGTGTGGGGGGACGCGTAACTGCATTCAGCCAGTGTTGTCAGGATGAGTCCCTCTCAGGGGCATCGTTAGGGGGGGGACCTGCCCAGGGGGGGATGCATCGGCCCCCAGTCGCCCATTCATCGCCGATGGGGGCCCGATGGCCTACCCCGCTGGGGACAGTGCGGATTCGCCATCGGGGGCCTAAGTACCGCTGATCAATGGGCGATGTATCCGCGATAGCAGCTCGATGTTCCCCTCTGGAGCTGGTCCCCCAAACCTTCCCCGTCAGAGGAGCAGCATCTGCTCTCCAGGGGGCCATGAGGAGGTGCAACTTTCCAAGGGTGCCCTGGCATCCTTTCAGAGGAAGCTGTGTGGTCCCGCAGACAGGTTGTTCTTCCAGACCTGCTGGTCTGTGTGTCGGGGAGTCACCGCTACCACAGTTTTCCTTCTAGTTTTTTTCGCAACCGTCAGCAGGTGTACTACCAGGGCCTACCCGTGACTCTGAGAAGGTTTGACCCCTCTCGCTTGCTCCCTCGGCGCGCCAGTGAGCTTGCGAGCACGGCCGGGACTCGGATGGCTCTGTTGGCTCGGGGGCCTTGAGCTGAGACGGGGGTCAATGCAAACGGGGATCAGCCAGAGCGCCCGATCTTGCAGGAGCCTGCAGGGCCAGGGTCGCATTGACCCGGGTTTGGGTGCAGGATCCTGCAGGATCTTGCGGGATCCTTCGCATTGACCCGGGTTTGGGTGCAGGACCTTGCAGGATTCTGCAAGGGTTGGCCGACCTGGGTCTGGACTGATCCGGGTCAGGAGATCCCCGATTGGCAGCGGGCCGAGCGCTGGAGGCGCAGCAGACTGGGGCGGCTCTCGTGGCTCCAGGAGGCACATCTGTGGTGCCATCCGGCAGAGTCCAACGTACCCTGCTCCAGTACGGGGCGCTCCAGAAGGAGCTCTTCGCCCGCCAGAGATCGAGGCGTTGCCGTCGATTCCTCTGCCAGGGGCGGCGGAAGGCTGGCGTCCGGCTGCGGAAGTCAAACGAGGCCGCCTCCGCCAGCGGAAGCAGGGGGAAGGGTGGCGGAAGGCGGCGGAAGCCCCACCCAAGAAATGACACCTTTTGGGGGGGGTCAGGCTTTCATGCTGGTCCTGCTTGCCAGGCAGGCGCCCTGAGGCGGTTCTCATATTTTTCGGGTGCTTCCTGTTACCCATGGAGCTTGCCACTAAGCGTAGATCAACGTTTGCTCAACCTCCCCTACTCTTCTCTCTCCGCCGCCACCCCCCCTTGGGTATATGACTATTTTACCGTGCCCGGGCGCGTGCCCGGGTGCCCAGGTGCGTGCCCGGGCGCGTGTCCGGGTGTCCGGGTGTCCGGGTGCCCGGGCGTCCGGGCGTCCGGGCGTCCGGGTGTCCGGGCGTCCGGGTGTCCGGGTGTCCGGGTTGTCCGGGTGTCCGGGTGTCCGGGTGTCTGGGTGTCCGGGTGTCCTGGTGCCCGGGTGTCTGGGTGTCCGGGTGCCCGGGTGCCCGGGTGCCCGGGTGTCCGGGTGACCCGCGGGTGTCCGGGTGTCTGGGTGGCCGGGTGTCCGGCGGGTGTCCGGGTGTCCAGGTGTCCGGGTGTCCAGGTGTCCAGGCGTCCGGGTGCCCGGGTGTCCGGGTGTCCGGGTGCCCGGGTGTCCGGGCGTCCGGGTGTCCGGGTGTCCGGGCGTCCGGGCGTCCGGGTGTCCGGGTGTCCGGGCGTCCGGGTGTCCGGGTGTCCGGGTGTCCGGTGTCCGGGTGTCCGGGTAGGTGTCCAGGCGTTCGGGCGTGCGGGTGTCCGGGTGTCCCCCGGGTACCCTGGTGTCCGTCCGGGTGGTGGGTGCCGGGGTGCCCGGGTGCTCGGGTGTGTCCGGGTGGGGTGGCCGGGTGTCCGGCCGGGTGTGTCCGGGTGTCCGGGTGTCCCGGGGTATCCCGGTGTCTGGGTGCCCGGGTGGGTGCCCGGGTGTCCGGGTGTCCAGGTGTCCGGGTGTCCGGGTGCCCGGGTGTCCGGGTGCCCGGGTGCCCGGGTGCCCGGGTGTCCGGGTGTCCGGGTGTCCGGGTGTGCGGGTGTCCGGGTGTCCGGGCGCCCGGGTGTCCGGGTGCCCGGGTGTCCGGGTGCCCGGGTGTCCGGGTGTCCGGGTGCCCGCAGGTGTCCGGGTGTCCGGGCGTCCGTCCGGGCGGGCGTCCGGGTGTCCGGGTGCCCGGGTGTCCGGGTGTCCGGGTGCCCGGGTGTCCGGGCGCCCGGGTGCCCGGGTGCCTGGGTGTCCGGGTGCCCGGGTGTCCGGGTGCCCGGGTGTCCGGGTGTCCGGGTGTCCGGGTGTCCGGGTGTCCGGGTGCCCGGG